TTTTCATAGAAGCAGCATTCCCTCTTGTTGATGTTCTCCTTGGTCCAGTAGGCGAAGGCGCAGCGCTGGAAGGAAGGGGAGAGAGAAAGGTGCTGAGAGGGTTTGGCTGCACTGATCGCCAGACTATGAACCAGCCGTGACTCCACCTCAGTCATCCTGGATGCAACATGGGGGGGCTAATGGTGCACAGACCTGCCTCAGGCTGCGAGCTGACTGACAGTGTGTGAGTGGAGGCTCTGCAGTCAGTGCTGTGGGTGCTGGCTCACACTCAGCACTGCATCGGTGATGTCAGAGGCAAGCTGAGGCTGAGCGGACTGCTGAAACCGGACTAAAGCTTCCAGCTACGGGACAGACGGTATCTGGGCGCCAGCTCTGGATCGATAAATAACTGTGCTACTGAGAGTGGATTCATTTCATGCCATTTTAATCCTAAAACAGGAATACTTGTATAATCTATCCATCATTAACAAAAAGCTAGATGGTGATGAAAGATCACATAAAATCAAAACAATTAGTTGAACTTGCAAGCAAGGGTTTTTCACAAATTCTGTCCTAAATTCAATGTTGGAAAGTAACTAAGTACATTTCAGGAAGTCCTGTAGTCTTACTTTTTTTTAGTATTTTACATGAGCCTTTCCATTGTATCGTACTTCACTCCATTACATTTATTTAACTGCTATGGTAACCTTTTTTAGATTAAGATTTTGCATGGAAAACATATTACCAGTGTATAAAATATGACGCATTAGTAGTTAGTATCACACTGACAAGCAAACACTCACCTTTTTAAAACGAGTAACCACCCGACATAGCTCAAGTTTGTGCTGCCGCACCTGCTCGATTTGCTCTGGGTGAATCTTACTCTCTAACTTAGGCAGCATTTCTGAAGAAGTAAAAAAAAAAATTGTCTAGTTAAAATCTTTCGCTTGGAAGAAGTGCTTCATGTGGAGGAAGTCTGAAGAGACAAAAGGCAGAGAGTGCATCTTGTCAGTTATAGACTCCTCTTTTATAAAGCCTGCAGAGCCTTTAGTATTCTGACATATGCCTTTATATTGCTGACATGTGACCTGCTCTGCATTAGCTCCACTTCCTCTACTGAGGCTCCAACTTCAGCAAATGGATTTTCAATTAGATCTGTGCCCACAATACCACATATTAAAAATCCACACTAACCCGTTGATTCAGTCATCAGATCCTGCTGTGGCAGTAAATCCTTTGTGATCTCAACTGGTCAGAGAGAGTGTAACTGCCTTGTTTTATTGCACTGATTGCTCCACCCTCTCAAAACAATAATAACCTCCTACCATCGAGGTCATCTGCTGTCCACTCAGGCCTCACATTACCAACAAACTTGGATTGTGATTTAAAATTGTGAGATTAACACAGTTTGATTTCACACATGTACCTTTACACATCTCAGCCAGTGTTTTCATCTCTCATTTTGCAAACATTAGTAAAAAAAAAACACTCATAGTATCATTTATCATAGTTAACATTACCTTTTTTGCTGCCTTCAGATCTGCCTTTCACTTGGATGATCCACTGCAACAACATGAAGTCGCTTCTCGTGTCTAACTTGACAAAACACACACTTTTATGCGTGTGAAGAGCTATGTTTCATGTCCTTTGCCAGGCGTGTTGCCAGGTGACACCTCCAGAGTATTCAACTAGGGATCTTGTTACTCAACGGAGCTTTGATTGGCTCTTAGCAGCTATTATATACTTGTGTTTATGGTTGTCATTCAGTACAACTATCAGGCACAGTCCAGGTATTTATCTGGTACACAGCACTATTTATACAGCACAAAGAGCATCGAGTGTCCAGGAAATCTGTTTTTGTCATTAAATAAAGTTAGTAGGTGTGATAACTACTGCTGCAAAAAGAGGGAGGCATGTCAAATTATTTTTTAAGCACTGGGGAGGAAGTTATGTTTTCTATTTTGGCTCAGGGGAGGGGCATACACATTTAAATGGTTGTATTTTATATTTATTTTAGCAGTGATTTTGAAAGAAAACTTGCCCTCCAAACCAGCGGGCATGTTTTCTTAAAAAAAAAAAAAAATCTCCAAAATTAGATCATTTATCACAGCCAAAAACTGTAAAAACATAACTTATTATTCAATTTTCAAAATTCCGACGGTTCTTGAACACATTATATGGAAAAAAACCCTGGTTTCATCAGACAAAAAACATGACCAAATTTGAGCTTAAAAGTCTGATAGTTCACCAAAATCACCTGATTCTACAGTATGTCTCATTTAAAAGTTATCCAAAAATAAACGTTTGCACAAACTAACCAGCCTGCACAACAACACTGAAAAAACAAGTTTTTTTTCAATTTAAAAAAAAGAGTACAAGGCACATGATTTTCATAATATGGAGGTGGACTCAAGTACATAAGAAAATTAACAAATAAGTCTTGAAGGAAAGAGAAGAAAACAAACTAACAAACAAAAATATGTCACACATATGTTCTCATACATCACTCTACAGAGTCATCACAGAGCAAATTCATAATTATGTCAGCTTATCTTCCATTTTGATATGAGTCCATAACCGGTCCCAAGGAGATACTTCTACTGAGCATACATTCATGAGATGCTAGTTCCACCATCGAATTAACCCATTCTTTCAATTGGGGGCCTTTCTTTGTCTTCCAGTGTCTTAGAATAACTTGACAGTCAGTTATTAGACACACAATATTAATAGGTTGTGGCCGATCCCCCAGTAAACACAACTTTGGACTTAAAGGGATTTCTGAATCAAACCAATAACTTAATATTTCTAATACTCTAAGCCAGAGTGGTGCGACCAAACTACATTCCCGTATACAGTGCAGGAAAGTTCCCATTTCAGTTTCACATTTCCAGCAGCTATTGTCATTTAACAACTTCATTCTTTAGAGTTGTAACGGTGTATGATAATACATCTTCAACTTTTAACTTTCAAACATCAAAGGGTAAGCTTTAAAGATGTAACATGGTGGAGAGAGGGTCATGCATTTTCCCCCAAGTCACTCAGGGAAGCTAAAGGAAAAATAATTGTAGCTTTGGGGAAGTTTAAAAAAAGGAAGTCACATCCCAGCCACACTCCTTTTTTCATAAGTAGAGTCCCTTACTATAATACAACGTTTAAAACCAGGAAAAAACAACACTTCTGATGTTAAGATATCCAAAATCTAAGACAATATCTACTCATATCACGATATCAATATAATATATTGATACAGGTTATTACCCAACCCTATAAAAGGTTTTTTAGCTGTTCACAAAATCTTAGTTATCAAGGTCGCTTTTGTTAAGTGCAGTGAGCTACTGTTAGCATGCTAACAAGCTAAGCTAACACAGTGAACAAGGTTAACATTTTCTGTGGAGATTGACAGTTCATTCTTGAATTTCAGAAACTAACTAACTGACTAACTAAATAAACAAACAATAGCAACAAAACAATCTCACCACGATGTCCATTTAGTAGCAGCTCTTGTGCTTTCAGTTATATCACACGATCTTCATCAGCAGATGGAGTTGACTCAGTTGAAATTTATTCGTAAGATATTTAAATATGCTTGCACCTCGTCCATGCTGGTTTGGAAATTGAGATTTAAGTTTCATTTTTTTACCCTGTGGAGTTCAAGTGTCTTTAAAAAGTAGTGTCCCAGGGTCACCTTCTTTATACACTGTCCTCTGGGAAATAATATCTTAGTAACAGGCTGCTGGTTCAGAGTAAAACTATGTTACTTTAGAGCCAAACAATCCTGTCAGTCTTTGACTCTCTAAGTGAAGTCCCTGCTGTAAAAGCTGTGTTATGTGTAACTAGTTAAAGGGGTCAGGCTGTGGGGGTCAGAGGTGCAGAGCAGGAAGTCACCTGCAGTTTGTTTAATGTGCAGCTTTCAGGTTTTTGGCTCAAGTCAATGCATCTTAAAAGATACTATTTAAATAGGCATTTTTCTGGGTATTATCATAATTATGAATATAACATAGACAACATAGACCGCATTTAAAGAAGTAAAGATAAGTCTCTTACGTCATTTCCGGGTTCAGCTGTTCACCTGTATATTGACTGTTGTTCTGAGACACCACCAGTAGATGTCAGCACATCACCACTGATCACAGCTACAGTCACAAGCCTGGAACCAGCTGTATTTCTGTATTTAGCTTCTACTTATCACAGGTTTTATGTCTCACTGCAATGAGTGTGACGAACAGTAACAGCTTAAAATAAGAGGAAATAATTCAAATAAGTCTTTTCAACTGTATGCCCTGGTTTTTTATGTTTTAGGTAGTCTTGTCTTGGCCAAGGGACTACAGATAAAATAGCCACTTGGCTGATTCTGGCATTTTTATACCATGTGTATTTATTAATTTGCGCTGTCCTTTGTTAAATAAACTAAACTGAAACTTAAATGTCTTTGATTGAAAGCGTAGCAACACCTGTCCAAGATAATGTCCGACCAAAAGACAAGTGATTTATATAAACTTAAGTTACAAATCCTTTGGTGTTACATTAAACTGTTCAAATATAAATTTCATGCTTTGTGATCTCACTTATTCTATCATCAAATATGCCAATATTATTACTATAGTTAGTAGAGTTTTTCAATTAATATGTGGATTATTCTTCTGCTTGTTTGGTCTATGAAATACTATTGTTATCCATCTAAATAACCAAGAACGCAATCCACATATTTGAGGAGCTGGAACCAGACTGGAACCAATAATTGTGCTGGAAAAATGTTTTAATTTTATTGGTCTAGCCAACAGATTGGCTTGCGAAAGTTATAACATTAAATAAAAAAGTATTATATATCAACATTTATTGCACCATCAGCTGCCATACACTCTCATTAGATTTTGATTTGTCACCTTGTAAAACATAATCTTAGTAAAACTAAACTGTACTGTGGATTCATTTATCAACTGAGAGCAGTTGTACGGTGATGAGTTACTATGAGCAGTATCATATCAAAGCACTTCCACATACAGAGCACACAGACACTCCTGTATCCCTTACGGCACAATATTTATTCAACAATATACAGATTAATTTCTCTCTACATCTCAGACTGATCTTTAGTTTTTTATATTTATCTTGCTTTGACCTTTGTACATTTGTCTATTTACAAGATTTAAAATAAGTCTTTCTCTCCATTTATACATCATCAATAGTACAGTGTTATCACATCATCCAGCAGCTTCCCTCGAAGCATCTAGATTAGATTCATCGTTGATAATCTTTATGTTTCATACACCAGCTGACGTCTCTGAGCCACAGAGCAGCAAACTGACAGAAGGGCTCGACATGCACCAAAAGTCCCGGTGTGGCTTTCTCTCTGTGAGGGCAGTTGGATGACAAATGGATGGTCCTCTTATATCACCCACATGAGAGAGGTCCTTCGCTCTGTAGCACCACTACAGGGTGTATAAACAGAATCGCTGGATGAAGAGGAGGAGGGGGGGGGACGCTGTTGAGGACTTGCACCTTAAAAATCAGCTTAAACGCACCTGCCCCATCCCACCCGACACGGATCGATGAAAGCCGGTAACACGAAAAACAAAAAAGGGGAAAAAAATGTTGCATAGAATCAATTCTGACTTCAAGAACAGAAATTTTGGTGCTGCCATTTTAAAAATGTGGCTTTTTGATAAACTCCTGAGACCTTCCAGAACCCAAGTAACATATATATATATATATATATATATATATATTTTTTTTTTTTTGTTTTTGAAAAGAAAAAAAAATAAATAAATAACTGTACCCTTAGACTTTAACAAAAATAGCATTGTGTTGGATGTGACATCACATAGAAGTACTACTTTAAAGAGACTAAAACCCTGCATTGAGTGTATACACGTTTGCACATCTATATATATCATTTCAATAACTATCTTGAGGAGAGAGGTGGATGGATTAAAGTGCATTATACTGTATGAAAACAAAAGCCCACAGTTATCACATGCAGGGCAGGAAATTAATTTTATCCACCAGTGACAGTGGCTGACAAGAACAAATTGAACCCTATTTTAAACCACCAAAACTAGACTTTTTTTTTTAAATGTCAGTGGACCTCATGAGGATTTCTGAGCTTATTATTCGATCAAAAATGAAAAGTAGATAAAATTTTCAGCCACAGTCCACCTGGTGTTCATTTCCCGCCCTGGTCACATGCAAATAACACCAGACACCGAGGGGTATTTCTCTATCCGTTACTCTAAGTCAACATACAGTACCAACATGGCTGCTGGTATCCTTGGTCAGGGGCACTCGTATTAATGACATGAACACGTCACCAGTTTTTAAAACAGCAAAAAAGGTGCCACTCAACTCACGGCAAAATACAGCAAATGGGAAACAGCTCGTCGTGAGCCACACAGCACAGGGATGACAGCAGACAGACCAGGTGAGAGTGTGAACTGTAGCTGCACTCCTCTCTTCTTCTTCTTTCACAGTCCAGGAGGAGGAGGAGCACGTGAGGCCGAAGAGCCGACGATGGAGGCTTTTTGGCCTGAAATGTTTTAAGGCTAAAGCGCACACAGGACTCACTCAGGACCAGGAGCAGCAGCAGCAGCTGTGAAGGGTTTTTTTCCAGCACAGTGGGAGCATGAGTGTGTGGGGGATTTTTCACTGCAGACTGAACTGACTTTTATATACATTAATCATTCATCCTCATTCTACACAAGCACGTGAGCAAGACGTGGGAAATGCAATACAACAGCTGACAATCCACGGTACACAGACGCATAATATACTGCTTTTACATGTGAACAGCAAATAGTGATGACTGTCAGAGTACAGTTCACACCTGTGATGAGTGAAAAGAAAATTCATGGCAAAAAAAAAGGAGGTGAAGCTGCATCTAAGGGCACGTTGAGCCATATGTCCAAACATCCCTTTTGTTGTCCCTTAATTTTGAAATAAGACCAGTAAACACAGAAGAGAAAAAAACAGGCATTTTAACTTAAGACACCCAAAGCAAAACATATCTTCCTTAAGGAGAGGATGTGTATTGGCACATCTGGCAAAGACAAGGACGAGACTTGGGTTTGGCTCGCTGACTGTTTCACGCATCTGAAACAGCAGTGCTTTGCAGGGCACTAAACATGCAGACAAGCACGCCATGTTCAAATCACTCAGCCTGGGCGGGGAGCACTACAGAAGGCTAGCTAGCACTGTGCGCAGATGCAGGCATTTAACAGCAGAGAAGATCCAACTCCATGCACATGAGGATAAAAAAATTGCACTTCAAAAATCATTACATAAAAAAAAAAAATAAAGATAAGCAGGACATTTGTAGGGAGTTGAAATAATCAGGTTAATCCCGACATGGTTGTTTGATACATGACAGAGAAACCTGAAGACAGTCGTGTTCTAGTTTTGCAGCTAGGTTTTGTGCATGGTGTGATTGAACTGAAATGCAAGGCTGAGATACTCAGTCACAGCTCCTCACATGAACAGATTTTACAGTGTCATTACAGTTGCAGTGTGAAACCAGTTTGCCCCCCCCCACTATATATCCCCCAAAATGGTCAAGCACTCCAGTTTCAAACCTAATGGGGTCTCTAAATCCTGCATCTGACTGGGAGACAGGTGTCTGGGTGGCAGGGTGAACACACAATGAGGTAGAACAAAATGTTTCATGAGCATCCAATCAGAGCACAAAATGCAAGACAATTGCCATGGTGACGGCTGATGCGCAGTGACTACTAGGAGCCTCCAGAGGGCAGTACACCACCGGCTCAGGCACGACACTGCACACTAGCCAGAGCCTGACAAACACACCTTCAGATGGAAGAACCCATTCAATGGTTGAAACCATAATAACAATCTAATATAAAATACAGTCATTGCCTTTTAGCTTCAGACACAAACCTGCATGTCTACAATGTTTTCATCCAGTTCTTCAGCAAGATTCAGCTTCAAGGTTTTAAATCAAGTAACAAGATGAAGCTGCACAGTAGTGATTTCGTCAGATTTGTCCAGTTAAAAGCTCGGGGCAAGAAAAACCACATTCCAGTTTGGTTTGACAACAATCTTAAAAGTCTGATTTTACAGATCAAATGAGAAGATTCGAATAAAAGGAAGATTGTGGGCTGAAAACTAGAGCATCACTTTGGTCTGACTGATTTCTGCCAAATCACTGTCAGACAAGTGACAAAAAAGAAATGCTACCTTCTTTGGATTGTGATTTAAAACAAACAAAAAAAAACATTAAAGAAATTTTATTCATAAAACCATTTATGCCTAATTAACAAGGAAGATAATCAGCAAGAACGATTGCACGTGAGCCCGGGAATGAAAGGGAAGGAATGAAGAGAAAGAGCAATAATCCCCACTCTTCTCCACATGAGCGACGGTAAGTGTTATTGCTGATTTATTTTTTTGACTGATTCAGTCAGGAACTCAAAAAAAAAAAAAAAAAAAAAAAAAAAAATCTGAAATGTCATACATGTCTCCTGCAGCTAGCGTGGCATCCGTAGTTTTCTCTCGACACTTCCTCCTTTTCTGAGGAGAGTTTGTGTGTGGAATGCTCAGCTCGGTCTGACGGGAGGATGCAGTGACATGCTGGACTGTAGTTACAGCAGTGGGCCGTCATCATTTACTACTTTTCTCTTGTTGCATTTTCAGTAACGCTAAATCCACCGGCGACGACTTCAGGTCACGATTGTAATGGATGTTAAAAGGGTGGAGACACAACTCTTGAGCACACACACACATACACACATACACACACACACACACACACACACACCAACACAGATAGGTAGACAGAAGTTGTTGTAGTAGGGTTAAAGAGTTGCAGAGAAAAACTGCATGAGGATGAGTGCTATGAACAGGTATTTTATGTATGTGTGTGTGTGTGTGTGTGTGTGTGTGTGTGTGTGTGTATGTATGTGTATTATGCCCTGCACTGCATGTTAGACCTGTGATATGATCTGCATGTTGAAACTGGGGGAGCGGGACTGCTTGGTGAGAGGAGCTCCAGGAGACAGGAGGTCTTGGGCGTCCTCTGGCCTGATGAGGTGCTCCTCCTGCAGGCTGATCGTGGAGTGGCGGTGGGAGCCGCCTACAGGAAGCCCTCCTTCCTTGTCAGAGCCCCCCACCGCCTCCTCTCGCTCATCATCGCCTCCGTTCAGGTTGAAATTCATGCAGTCAAAGGACTTGCTGGAGGAGGTGCTGCCAGTCCGCACCAATGTGGGCCCTGCCGGGAAGCTCAGGTGCTTCTTTATGGGGCTCAGCTGGATGGCATCCAAGTTGATGCTGGCTGGAGGCGACTGCTGCCTCGCGTGGTGCCTCCTCACAGCAGCCTGGTGATCTGCTGACAAATCTGCATGTTTTTCCGCCTCCCTCTCCCTCTCCTTCTCCCGCTCCTTCTCCTTGTCTCGAGACAGCCGGGCTGTGATGGCTTTCTTGATGCTGCTGCTGCTGCTGTTCAGGCTGCCGCCCCTCTGCCCCACGCTACCGCCTGCCTTGGTGCCGCTTGGCTGGCTGCTGTTGGAGGCCCCGGAGGAGAAACCCTCGTCCGGGTCGTTGACGTTGAAGGAATCTTCCCCGCCGCTCATACCATCAGCATCTGAACAAGAACATGCACGGACATAGACAGAAAGAAGGCGTGATAGACAAACAGAAAAGTGAGTAACATAAGATGACCACTGAAATTATGTTGACAACTTTAAGTAAAATCTGACTGCGAACAAAATTTCAACCCTAGTGCTTTAAGTCCTGTGGCTTATATTCAGTTTTTTGACAGTGTTCTCAAACAAAGCTAAACTAACTACTATTAAAGGAATACTTCAACAATAAAATGACCATTTGTATACCAATTACTCACCCCGTGTTACGTTGACTACATAAAGAAAACTTTATTTTTCTCGCATGCCTCCATGGTGAACCAGAGAAAAGTTTTGATGAATTGGAGTCATAGGCATCTGCATTCAACAACAGCAAAACTATGCCAGACATCCGTTTACAAACTCTCACACAACTCGTGCAGTATAACCCAAGACTCATTAATCATATGCTCAGTACTTCCCAAAACACTTCGGCATAGGAGTAGCGCGTCTCCCGCACTACTTGTCCACGTGTGACACAGTTTATGTGGAAGTGTTTTAAATTGTAGGGTCTTTTAGTGAAAATGCATATATTTGGAAAGGTCTGAGCAAACAACCAGATGAGTGAGACTTGGTTTATACTGCAAGACTTGTGTTAAAGCTTGTAAATTGATATTTTGATATATAGTTTTGCTGTTGTTAGAGGCACCCCCCCTTTTTACTTAAATTCAAACAAGAATATTCTCAGTTTTTGGATTCTTCGTTCACCGTGGAGACACCGTGGAAAGAAAACAAAGCAAATTTTAAGTTAACACGGGGTAAGTAAATTATACAAAAGGTCATTTTGTGGCTGAGTTATTCCGTTAATAGTAACGTAGCAAAAAGTGCTGGTTCTCATTAAGAGTGATGTGAAAAGGCCTGTGACAAACTGATTAATCTGAGCAATAAGACTAAAAATGTTTAAAGTGTTTACAAATAATGCAGACTAAATCAGCAGACTAAATTAATAGCCTTCTAGCAGCAGGCCAGCTCGAACACTCGCACTCATCAGACCATGCTGCTTCATTAGCTCACTCATTATGCACCAAACAGAGGTACAACTCAATACGGTACACAATGACCTTGAGCTTTGATCATCTGATGCAATTTAGATCAACTTAACTCTGACTAGCTGATTGTTTAGAAAAAGTATGAGCTCAATAACCTGCTGGACAAGTGAGCAGAGCTCGTCTAGCAAGTGATGCAGATTTAATATATATTAGACAAGTGATATCTGGTGATATTTAGATGTAATTCTAACAACACTGACATTAAGACATCAAAACAACAAAATAATAATCCATCTATCATCGTTTGAAAGCTGAAAAGGAAAAAGACGATAAATTGAGTTAGAAAACAAAGCATGTTACTGACATACAGTATGCAGGGTAAAGCCTGTTAAACAGAGGAGACAGAGGATCAGCCGTCTGTCTCCGTCATGCATCGTTGGGACAAGCAAAATTGTACAGTAGGGAACCGCAGGCAGCACCAGAAAAGAAATGGAGAAACCGAGAAGAATAGGTCTGGATTGACATGCACATAACATGAGGAGAAGACACATGCTCTCCTGCCCCCATCCCTCCTTTCTCCTGTAGCGCTGGCACAGCGGTCAGATGGTTGGCCGGCTGAGACGAGCCTGCCCATCTGTGGAGAGCACTGAGGCGAGTCCGTACACCTCATCAGATCAATAGCATTCCAGTTAGAGCTGACAGCCCACGGGGCTAAATGGGCCAGTCTGCAAGCCATTACAAGTCAACCCAATCCCAGATGAAGAGCTAAAACTTCTTCAGAGCTTTGCAATTAAAGGATTATACAGTGTTTTTGCATGTTTAAGCCTTTTGATTACAATGTGCACGTTTATATGCTCGCTATTGGTTTCCAGTCACTTCAGTGCGCTGCTAAATTCAGTCTGCAGAGCCTGAAATGTTTCTCAGACAGATCACTCACTACAGTAAACATGTCTCTGCCTTAATTTTTAATGTAATGTTATATCGTTATGTGCTAATGCAGCTGTGGACCATTTTACAAACTCTACCTTGATCTACCTTGCATTCAGGGATACTCTGAGGTACAAAATACCTGTCAGGAATCATTGTAAACATGAGTCTCAGATCCTGAATGCATATATATGGACTATGTGTAAGGGATAATGTGAGTTTTGTAATGATTTAAAAAAAAAAAAAAAAAAGAGGTGCTACTTGGATCTAACAGCGATGTAACAAAAAGAAGGTGCTCTTGATGTACAGTACAGGCCAAAAGTTTGGACACACCTTCTCATTCAATGCATTTTCTTTATTTTCATGACTATTTACATTGTAGATTCTCACTGAAGGCATCAAAACTATGAATGAACACATGTGGAGTTATGTACTTAACAAAAAAAGGTGAAATAACTGAAAACAAGTTTTATATTCTAGTTTCTTCAAAATAGCCACCCTTTGCTCTGATTACTGCTTTGCACACTCTTGGCATTCTCTCCATGAGCTTCAAGAGGTAGTCACCTGAAATGGTTTCCACTTCACAGGTGTGCCTTATCAGGGTTAATTAGTGGAATTTCTTGCTTTATTAATGGGGTTGGGACCATCAGTTGTGTTGTGCAGAAGTCAGGTTAATACACAGCCGACAGCCCTATTGGACAACTGTTAAAATTCATATTATGGCAAGAACCAATCAGCTAACTAAAGAAAAAAGAGTGGCCATCATTACTTTAAGAAATGAAGGTCTGTCAGTCCAGAAAATTGCAAAAACTTTAAATGTGTCCCCAAGTGGAGTCGCAAAAACCATCAAGCGCTACAACGAAACTGGCACACATGAGGACCGACCCAGGAAAGGAAGACCAAGAGTCACCTCTGCTTCTGAGGATAAGTTCATCCGAGTCACCAGCCTCAGAAATCGCAAGTTAACAGCAGCTCAGATCAGAGACCAGATGAATGCCACACAGAGTTCTAGCAGCAGACCCATCTCTAGAACAACTGTTAAGAGGAGACTGCGCGAATCAGGCCTTCATGGTCAAATAGCTGCTAGGAAACCACTGCTAAGGAGAGGCAACAAGCAGAAGAGATTTGTTTGGGCCAAGAAACACAAGGAATGGACATTAGACCAGTGGAAATCTGTGCTTTGGTCTGATGAGTCCAAATTTGAGATCTTTGGTTCCAACCGCCGTGTCTTTGTGAGACGCAGAAAAGGTGAACGGATGGATTCCACATGCCTGGTTCCCACTGTGAAGCATGGAGGAGGAGGTGTGATGGTGTGGGGGTGTTTTGCTGGTGACACTGTTGGGGATTTATTCAAAATTGAAGGCACACTGAACCAGCATGGCTACCACAGCATCCTGCAGCGACATGCCATCCCATCCGGTTTGCGTTTAGTTGGACGATCATTTATTTTTCAACAGGACAATGACCCCAAACACACCTCCAGGCTGTGTAAGGGCTATTTGACCAAGAAGGAGAGTGATGGAGTGCTGCGGCAGATGACCTGGCCTCCACAGTCACCGGACCTGAACCCAATCGAGATGGTTTGGGGTGAGCTGGACCGCAGAGTGAAGGCAAAGGGGCCAACAAGTGCTAAACACCTCTGGGAACTCCTTCAAGACTGTTGGAAAACCATTTCAGGTGACTACCTCTTGAAGCTCATAGAGAGAATGCCAAGAGTGTGCAAAGCAGTAATCAGAGCAAAGAGTGGCTATTTTGAAGAAACTAGAATATAAAACATGTTTTCAGTTATTTCACCTTTTTTTGTTAAGTACATAACTCCACATGTGTTCATTCATAGTTTTGATGCCTTCAGTGAGAATCTACAATGTAAATAGTCATGAAAATAAAGAAAACGCATTGAATGAGAAGGTGTGTCCAAACTTTTGGCCTGTACTGTACATATAGGCAAACATTGTCCACAAGTAAGGAAGTAGATTCCTGAAAACTCAAGGTGTGCTGCTTTGTTAAAGGATTTATGTGAAAAAAAAAAAAAAAAAAAAAAAATTATGATCATGGCTACATTATCAAAAACAAGACGCATATCGACTGTGTGCGTTTGTCTTTGTAACTTCTGGCATTAAAAATGCGTTGGGCAGACGAATGAACCAAATCAAAGCATCCTTTAACACACCAGTAGTTAAAGTTTTTTAAAAGTGTCCATTTTCTCAACAGGAGAACAAAAAATAAAGCAATGAAATATTCACTATTAACCCTTTGAAAAGTAAGCAAATTGCAAGCAAAAACATGGGAAGACGACAATGAGCAACAAAAGAAGAAATGACCCCGAAAATTTGCAAGAAATTAGAAAAAAAAAGGAAAATAAAAAACAAGAAAATTAGTTTTTAAAAAAAGGGAAATTACCTGAAACAAAGTGCTTAAAAAATTACAATAATTATGTAGCATAATTTTAAATATGTTATAATAATAATAATAATAATAATAATAATAATTCTAGGTATAGTTTTTCCCTAGCTTTTCTTTTTTCAAATAATTTTTTTTGCAATTTGTGGGACATATTTATGAAGTTGCTCATTGCCTTTTTTCCCATGTTGTTAAAAAGAAATCACACCAATTTGCTCACAGTTCAAAGGTTTAAATACTTGTGTAAGGAGTCTGAAAGCAGCACAGGAAAAGTGACGTTGCTCCAGGTTTGAAAGGGTTAAGGTAGCTAGCAGTACTCGAGATCTTCTGAAAGTCTCGGTTTCGTCTTGGGATCTATTACATTTTTACTCGCTCAGACAAGGAGGCAAAGAGGACTTAGGTTTTTACTTCAAGATCAGTCAAGACCACAACTACAGGAATCTCACTAAATTGCCTGTGCAAAACAGGTGTTGAAAGTGTTGAACAAAGATGATAGAGCTGATTATACGTACACATGTATAGGGTATATGGCAATAAAACAGGTGAATGTAAAGCAATTTTAATTTGTTTTCTGTGGGTGTTTTTTTTATGTGAATCTTTCAGTTCAGTTTGAGGAGTGCCTATGGTTTACATGTTCCACATTTTATCCTAAGTATGTTGTGTAGTGTGGGACTAGCACTGATCTGGTCTTGGTCTTGTCTTTGTCTCGATACACTCTGGTCTTGGTCATGACTTTGTCTCAGTTTAGGTGGTCTTGACTACAACACTGGTAGCTAGCTCAATTTTATATTTATTATCACTGTCAGGTGAAATCAAAAGGAACTAATGACTTCCAGGAAGGGAGGAAAATCAATTGAATTACCCCAAGAGGGATTAATAATGTACTTCTAATAAAAAAGTGTAATTAACAGGATTAAACATGCAAAGACACCAGTGTGGTAATTTTCCAATATTACTGCAACGCAGCCCCAAACTAAAGGACATGTGTTAGGTAGATTTTTTTCTGCAACAGAATGTCCAGTAACAAATACTAAGTGAACGATCTTTAAAATAATCACAGTTCTCACTTAACTGGGTGGCAGATTTCTATCTAATGAAACAGTGTTGAGATTTCTTGCACTATAGCTGCACTGAGTTAAATGAAAGATAATGGGAAGAAGCCGGGGTGGCACTCAGACAAACGCCGACCATAAAGCCAGGGAATGAGCTGATCTTCAGTCATGTCAAAGGGATCTGAATGATGTTTCAAGATAACAAACATGTTGCAACCACACATGGAAATGGACACATTCAACAAGACAAAATGGGCCGTACGACAGGTCCTGGCAGTGGAGTTGTCTTTGCAGCTCAAATTATTGGATCTGTAAACCCTGACAATATTCAGTCCGCAAACTTGGCCTTGTCATTTGAAATGTTAGTGTTCCAGGGGTTTCATGTTTTAGCGCAAATTTTTTCAAAGCTTGCCGTAGCGTGTGCATGCATGATGAAGGGCTCGTTCCCACTCACTGAGCTGAAGAAAAAATGCGGCAGAACACAGAGTTAGTGTATAATAAAGCTGCTGGAGTTGAAAAACAAAATGGAAGGCCTCTTCTTGCACAGTGTCGACAGCAGATGGCTGCTGCTGGCCTGAGTGACCCAAAACTTGTGGTGCTGTCAATCACTGCGAAGGGCAGTAGAGAAACAAGATGTCTGGTGCCAACTTTGTTAAAGATGTATATATTTTTTACTTGTTAAAACCACAGGGAAAAAAAAAAGAATCTATAAAACCAATTATCAGACATGGAGAGTTGAGGATGCCCAGAGTAAAAGGTCAAGCTGCAGGCTGGGCACTGAACATGCTCAGTGAGTGACAAGGGCAGCAGTTTAAAATACGTTGGAGGTATGATGAGGAAAAAAGAGAGGATATGACATGATGACAGGCCCATGCAAAATGGCCACTAGCCACACTTCCTTCAAACCCAGAATAGGCGACTCTTCCATTCTTGGTTGGGACGAAAAATAGCAGTGGTCTGGTAGTAGCGGGGTTGTTGGCTGGGGGTCTTATAGACTGGAGGAGTTAGTATACTCTGGGGAAGTGAAGAGGTAGCCAAAATGAGAACGGCAGAGTTAACCCCCTCGAGCTGAGAAGGAGTAGGGGGAGGAGGGTTGGGAAGATACAGATCGAAGGGGCACCTCCTTCTGAGACCCTCCCTGCTCTGAGTGTCCGCCTCTGTCCCCTACCCTCAAATGTGATGGGGGGAATGATGCTGCTGCTGCTGCTGCTGTGGTGGCTGTGAGGCCGCCCTTCTCTCTCCTCTTTGGCTGCGGGGTCCCAGGGAGTGTGTTGGTGGTGCTGGTGCTGGGCGAGGCTAGGAGGATTGACGATGAGGCTCAACTCTGCATCGGTTGAGTAGTCAAAACAATCTGGGAGTCAACAACACAGACGGGGAAATGTGTGTCTTTAGTGGCAGCAAGCCTGAATGGATTCGGGCCTCATCATGGGCACAGCAGGCCTAACAGCTGTCTGTAAATTCATTTGTAGATTACAAAATATAGCAAAGAGGAACGCAATGGTATTTTTCAAAAACGAACTGCCCTGTAAATCGCCCATCTACTAGGTAAAATGGAGTCAGTAGAATCTACAGGCACCATTTTGTCGTCAGTTTCCCCTTAAACTGCAAACCTTAAATTTAACTGGTGATACAAAGCACAGCACACACTTGGTAGACAAGACGAGCAAAATAAAGAGCAATAAGGAGCAGTGAGTGGCACAGGCACTGCAACACAGAGACTATATGACCACAGTTACATACAATAACTGACATGAAACACCATTTGGACGATGCTAATGGTGTGACTGGTTTACACAGCAACAGGTTTCCCTCTCACTGCTTGGGACAAACACCAGAAAAGTTATTCTCTCACCAAATAGTTCCCTCTTGTGGCTTTTCACTGATTGGAAAAAAAGTTTGTAAGTTTGCAGCTTAAATCATTACTAAACACTGGTGGTTTTTCTTGCATAACATAACTCGAACTAATAAATAAAAAGTATTATAATGGATCTACTGAGCTGTCACATCTACTGAGCTCTCTCCTGCACTGACACCTGGTCCAATTTGCTCTGTGCTGCAGCCATGATGGCAGGTGTTCCTGTTTCCAAGGCTGCTGTAGTCTTACCCTCTCTCTTCCAGCGGTGGCGTCGTATGGAGGCGGTGGTGATGGCTGAGATGGAGATGCGGCTGATGGTGGGTGTCACCTCCACCTGGAGCACCTTGCGCCCCCGTGACTCATCGGGAGCCGTCTCTGGCAGCGAGTTCTTCATGGCATTCCCCAGCTGGAGGTAACACGTACACAGATACACATTGATAAGCAGTTAGTGATAAATCCAGGAAAGTATTAGAAGATTCAAAGCCTGATTACAGCCATCACTGGTGATTTGTGTGAAACATGGCAGATCAAACAGTGTTTTGTATTTGACTCAAGCTTCACAGTTTCAGACAGGTTGAAAATATCATTAAACGAACACTTCACCCATAAAATGATCATTTCTCTATCAGTTAATCACCCTGTGTTATGTTGAATTTGTGAAGAAAACTTAGCTTTTCTCGCATGCCTCCACAGTGAATGAAGAATCCAAAAACAAAGAAAACTCTTAATGAAGTGAAGTCATTGGGGTCCAAGTTCATTAAAAGCAAAACTATATCAACACATCCATTTACAAACTCTCACACAACTCATGCGGCATATTCCAAGTCTCATGCTCAGTACTTTCCAAACATTTTCACTAAAACGTCAACTATTTAAAACACTTCCACATAAATGGTCTCAGGCATAGATGGGGTAGCGCGTTGGCAAGTGCATGCGTTTGAACTCTGCTTGTGCATTCCATTGAAATATTGCCTCCCAGCTCGTTCACTGGCCAGGAGTTCTGCTGTTACTCAACCAAGCCTGTTGTTTCCTGGCCTTCCTTCCAATTTTGAATGATATAGGATATATTAGGTATGATATAAATTATCCGACTATGATAAATAATAGAATATGCACCCATTGCTTCCACATGTTTGTCAGTTGTGTTTAAATAGAGGCGAGAGAGACACAAATTTACTCTCAAACACACATGGGCAGACAGCGACAGAGCTCAACATGTGATTTCAACAGAGCAGAGAGCAGAGTCACTTGCTGACCAGCGTGGGGAAATGTGGCTCTGGTGTGAATGGCCAGCAACTGCTGACAGGCGGCTGCATGACTATTACCAAATCAGGGCACTTCCATGTCCAGTGTGAACCCAGTCTTAAAATGACATTAGCTTCAGGCAGATAAGTTTGTTTCTACAGGATTCCCACACTTTATATGGACAAAATTTCAATATTTTTCCATATCTTTTCAAGGCCCGGCGATTTCAAACATAGATTCAAACTTCATACAAACATAATCTCAGCTAGCTGGAATACATGAAAAGAGAGATGGACCGCGGGGAGAAAATGAAGAAACGTACGTGATGGTAAACAAAATGTGATAGATCAACACTTACACTTAGAAGGTTATCTATGAAGATTAATTTCACATTATAATCACAAACGACCAAACAAATCCACGACTTCTTCAAAACTTTCAATGATTTTTACTAATTCTGTGACGTTTCTAAGCCTGGAAACTGACTGCGAAATTCCATGACGTTTCCAGGTTTTTCATGAACCCTGTGTTTAGTTATTGATTAGGGACAATTGAATGTCCCTCCCCCGTGGAAATCAGTTAGTGGATGCAGTGTCAGACTGAAGATGGAAACTGAGTGTCATTGTTTGACAATCTGATATCAGGCAAGGAGTTTTCTTCACAAATTCAAGTCACACAGGTAAATAACTGATATACAAATGATCATTTTGGGGGTGGAGTATTCCATTAACTCCACAAACACTGTGTTGTTGCTCTTACCAGGAGAGGCTGGGAGTAAAGCTCCAGCTGGGCTCTGTACAGAATGTCCTCCAGAGCTTCCCGCCCCATCTCCCACTCTCCATTGTATCTACACATTAAAAAAAACAAAACACAAATACATACACCGGCATTTAACAACGTCATGTTGTGATCCTATTTATGTAATCAGGAGTGTCCGACAAGATGCCTTGATGTCTGAGTCACATCCCTGTGAACTATTATTAGTTGTTTAGTAATGCCTGCAGCTTCAGGAGAGGAGGGAAGGAGACATTGTCATGCTATTGTAAGTTTAACCCGTGCTTTACCTTTTTTCTTGCAGAACTAAGTGAAGATTTACATGGGACACATTCATTCCTTTGGGATTCTGTGAAAATCCAAAAAAAATGCATGCAGGGAAACTTGCAAATTTAGCAATAATAAAGCTCAAGATTTGTGTTTAGTCTATGTGTTCGACTGATATGCAAATAGTGTGAAAAAAGGATGAATCCAAGTGCAGGTGTTGGTAACTGTTTTTGTTTATCACCTGGCTCTTTGCTCAAGATGAGGGCTATCATTAGCTTTGCATGAGGTGATGTCACAACCCCGTCGTCAATCAAGAGGGATTAAAAGGAGCAGCATCAATAAATAAATGCATTATACATTAAAAATAAAGAAAAGGAGAAGAACTGCACGGCTGAAACCTCTTTGATCCGGTCCTGCACATGCATCAATCACACAGCCAGGGACAAATGCACGGGGCTCCCTTTAGACTCGAGATGAAAGGGATGGAATGAATGGGCAGGTAGAAACAGACTCTCTGATGTTTTGAAGGCTGGAAAATCAGCCCGGAATACATTTGAAACCGGACAGGAGAAATAAATAAAAAAGAAATTTGGTGTGTGTCTATTTGTTCTGATATCCCCCTGTGCCTCTCCCTCTCCTCTCTTCACGTGGTATTACAACGCCGTAGCATTAGCGGACATATTAACCTAAATCCCAGAGTGTCCTCGACGAGTGCCAAGGTCCCTCTGCATGTGTAGAGCTGTGGATTCATGCTTATCTGCCCTTCATATGCTCCTGCTCGGGCCAAGGGTGAATGTGAGAGCTCAGGCTGTCACTGAGGTGACCTATGGTAGGGATTACTAAAAAGGCTATTATTCTTACACACACACACATGCAGTCTAGTTTTTTCTCCAGAGGCACTGACCGCTCCAATCTCCTGATTGCTGCTGTGTATGCTCGTGAGGGTGATGAGGCAGAATGCATACTCAGCCCCCCTGCCCCCCCCCCTTCTTGCTACACTATCCTTAACAGTGGTGATTCCAGTCGCTACCATATCAGGGGATCCATTGCCGAGGACAAGCTATCATCGAGGAGCTGTAATCAGCTTTGCAACGACTGTCCTCATAGGGGATGAAATCACCTGCTCCCACAATGCACTGCCGATGTAATCAGTGTGTACAGTGGGGAGCTTCTGTCTGTGGTACAGTGCTAGCATATGCTGTTGGGAGATTTTCTGCAGTAGATCACAGCAAACTTGAAGAGAGACTGGCCTCATTAGTGATGTCCCGCAAGGGCACAATACCAAAAATGAGAAACACTGTGTTATGTGCGGTGGGACCCAAAAGTCTGAGAACACTAACCAAGATACTTCAATTTTGCATTTGTTTCTAATGTAACACACATTAAATCCACCTGAGTGTCATCTGAATGCATGCTTCATCAGAAGGAATACAACTCTATAAAATCTGACCTTTTCTACACAAGATTAATGTTGGTCAGTGCTACAAATTAGCTTAAATTTGATTTCTAACCTAGAAATGTTACAGGATTTTAAATATTTCCTCTTCATTTTACATCATGTAACTTCTTGGGCTTTTAGATGTTTATGAATCATGACATTTTCTAATTATTTCAAGGTTTATGGAGGGGTGATAGCAAAAAAAAAAAATCCTAAGCCTGAAATTTTTTTTCCAGTTGAGGCATGAGGAATGGGTCGTCATTCGGTGAATCCAAAACATCTCTGGCTGGCTGCAGAATAGTTCATAACCCTGCCTCATCCATGTTGGTGGATGGGACATGGGCCACACTAAAAAGCAATCAAATAACAAGTCAAATAAATTCTTCCCAGAGATTGTTAGTTTGTCATTTTTGGTAGGCGTTATCACACTGATGTGTGTGGAAGTGTTCATTTTTCTGACAAATTCAGTTTTATTTACGTATTTGATGCTATAAAAAGGGGGTGTGATGTCATGATTGACAGCTGCAATGACTCGCAGTTGAGTCAGGAGGGTGTATGGGAGGTAGGCTTGGGTGATATTATGATATTATGGTATACCAGTGTATTTAGAAATTCCAACAGTATGATTTTCAACACTATCGGCTATGAGTGGTGGGGATAAGGACTAAAAGTCGGCCAGTAACAGCAGAGAGAGACCATGGGGAAAAATAGCATATATTTACATCCACTCTCCATTATGTACTGAATGGCCTGGTTTAATGTGAAGAAGGTAAAAAAATAGATACCGCCCAAGCCAATACAGTGGGCTATAACAGGCAGGATCTCGACACCACGGCTCCACGACCTGATCACAGCTGCACAGACTATTTTAGCAGAATTTTTTTTTTTTTCCTTTTACAGTGGAAAGATGTAGGGACAGGTCTTCCATCTTTATGTACAGTCTATGGGATGAACCTACAGAGAATTATCACCTGAATCAGCTTTTCTCAGCTTTATAGAAATTTACAGCAAGTTTCAGCTCATTGTTAAGCTGTCCAGCTGCAACATTACTGTTTTGGGTCACTCTCAGCACTCCTATAGTATAATTTATGGTAGTTAGCACCGAACTGGTGAACATAGTGGAACAATAAGTGGATAAAAGAGACAGATATTTTCCTCAGGAGTTGGTAGAGACAAAAATACAGCTAACACGGGATAAATATAGACTTGCATTAACCAGATGGCCACAAACACGAGTCCAAATAAGTTCTAATGTTGCTCCATTACTGCAGGATGTGTAAATGAGTGACTGTTTGTTAACAGTTATTGCAGCTTTAAAGATACATACATGGCATGATAAACGGCAGTCAGCATCTGCACCATGAACTCGGGGTCCAGCAGCACACGATTGCAAGGTTCCCTCCAGAGCTTCTGCTGCTGCCGGGGGAAGCCACATACACACAGCCTGAAAAGGGAACACACATACACAGTCATATAAGTAAGGTGAGCAAAGTCATATAGCAAAGAGATGTAGCATAGATCAGATGAGCCTCGATGAGGGGAAGAATTAAAGAGACCATCAGTCACTTCCTGAGTAAACTACACAAAGAGTGAACACATCAAACAGAGTGTGAGAGGGGAGCAAAATTTAATCTACTCTACACTTGTAGAGGTCAGGAAAGGTTAGACAATGGGGTGTTCGGGAACTACACACTGAGGCTAAACTCTAATGCTCTGAAAACTTCACAGTCACAGTTTGCTGCCTGTCTAGACTAAGTTTGCTTCAGGCATTGTCTCACTGCTCGCTCACGGTAGGAAAGTCCTCATATCCTGAACCGTCTGCACGCTGCAGGTGGAACAATCGCTGGGCAGCGGCCTGACCACAGTGCCTCATATTGTGAATTCCACATTGAGCCTTTCTCCTAACTACAGGGCATTTCAGCGCTTCCCAGACAGACAGACTCAGACAGGTATCCAGCAGGGATGCTTTCATTTGGCCAATCGCAGACAACTGAGCCCTCAAGAAACTGTACTTATCAAATCCTCCTGCGACCAGGGTAGTCAGTATTGAGGTCAGCGCATGGCTACAGGGTAGAGGAGGTGATTTAATACTAGATTCAGTAGAGCAGGTAATGGAGGTAGAAAAGGAGAGGGTGGTCACAAATTGGGTACAAAAAGGACAAAACTGTGGATAATGAAAGACAAAAAAAAACAGGACACATGCTTTTCATGTGCATTTTCCTCACCGTGAGCTCATTCTGCAAACTGACTGATAGGAAGATAGCGGCATGTACACCACAGCGGAGTTGTAGCACAGCATGAGGAAACACAGCACTTCAAACCTGCAATCACAAAATGTTCGGTTAAAGTTAAAACAACAAGAATGCAATCATGTAATGACTTTAAATAATGTCAGTTTCATCTGATTTCAGCATAACCCCAAACTGACCATTTTTGGTTTAACATTCTATCCACCTATTCTTCTGACACCTAGATAATTATGTAGAGTTACTCATGCAATTTATGAACTCTGAACCATAAAATAGTCTCTTAAGCAAACTGCTTGCCGAAGCTGTTTCGCTCATTGTGAAGTACTGTACTTTGTATGGCTGAATACCAAACTTCAATACTTTTCTGGCACCGACCAATTTGCTTTGATACTATCAAGTATTGAAAAATGTCCTCTCAGTCGGTACCAAATGTCAATCCCTGGGGAATAAATCTCATCAATGCAGTGAGCCAATATGTCATAAAGGCGTGCAGAAACTAGAAATACCACCACATGGTTGTATGCCTCCGTGCACCGGTGATGTTGCAATTACAGTTTACATCCATGTCTGTAAAAACATGGATGCTCCACATACATCTCTCCCTGGCAGCACAGGAGATCTATACAATCAGCACAGTTTCAAGGTGGGCACCCAAGATTAGTGTCAGCAATTCAGTATCTGACAAAATGTCTCCCCCTCTGTTCCTGAGATATGATGTTGAAAAGTGTTTTAGCAGAACATTATGCTGTTAAAGTCAAGTTGACCTTTGACCCTCTTGATGTAACATGTCATTACTTTGGGGCACCCAGCAGATCACCTGGTAGAGCAGGTGCCCAATGTGCAAAGGCTTTGTCCTTGCCACAGTTTGTGTCAAATATAAAAAAATTTGCTCAAGGTGTTCTTGAGATATTGTGTTTACATGAATGAGATGGATGGAAGGTCACAGTGACCTTGACCTTTGACCACCAAAATCTAATCAGTTCATCGTGGAGTCCAAGTGGATATTTGTGCTAAGTTTGAAGAAATTCCCTCAAGACGTTTTTGAGATATCGTGTTCATGAGAATGCGACGTATGTCTGTATGGACAGACAGAGGGACAACCTGAAAACATGATGCTTCCTGCATCGACTATTGCCAGTGCGAAGGCAAAAAAATGTTACACCCCGAGTGTTACACACTCATGTGTGTTGGCGTGACAGTGTGCGTCACAGGTATAAAAAATGTCTTAAAAGAAATCTAAAGAGTTGCTCCATTTCATCACGCTCGATGCCAGTAGCACACAATGCAATATATGGAAAAAGGGCATTGTTGACGTATCAAATTTGATGGAATCAATGTGTATGACATAAATTGAAAATCAGTAAGTTGCTCCGTATTCGACTGCATGAAGTCTTGTGCATGGATATTTAATTAAGTTAATGTTACTGTAATAGGTGTGGTGACTTACGGTGCACCTAAAGTGGGAGTTTCCCAGTTCCCAGTCAGAAATTCCAATTGGAATGTCCCCTGAAGTCGGATTTCCAACTTGGAAAGTCAGAGGAACCTCACCTGCCCTGACCTCAAAGTCCAATATGGCTGCTCTACGCATCAAAAGTAGTGAAAGCTATAGTAATATACTGTTTATTAGCACTTCAGTTTTATTTGTGTCCTACTAAAATAGTCATACAAACAGTCCTTTTGAACTTCTATCTGTGAACGTGTTGCTACAGTGTTTTGGAGCACTGATTGGGCCCCGAAATTCAAGCCCAACCCAAGCCTGAACCACGGCAGAAGTTTCAGGCCCGAGCCCAATTAAAAACCTGAATTTCTACTGTAAAATTTTTTCGGGTGGAACCTATCCTAGCTGACATTGGGTGAGAGGCAGAACACAGCCTGGACAGGTCAACAGACTATCACAGGGCTGACACATTCATGCTCATGCTCACGCTCACACTCGCACGTACGGGCAATTCAGAGCCATGTCTTTGGACTGTGGGGGGAAGCCAGAGAGAACCAAATCCGGGGAGATGGGGAGAACATGCAACAGAGCCGCCCTTTAGTGGTAAAATATTTAGCAACAAGGCACTAATTGGTACTGGAATCAGAAATGTGTCTGACTTATCGCATTTTATGGGTATTGTCAAAGTGTTAATTAAAAGCGTGCCTTTTTCAAACCCATAATAGGCCATGTCTGTTTAAATGTGATGTAAATTACATGTTCATGTCTCATTTCACTCAATGCAGCAGTGCCTTAGTCAGCAGAGTGAGTGGAACTGTCAATCTACCTGCTGCAGAAAAAAAACATGAACACAGATGCCACAAGACTGCAGATATTTGAGAACAGTGGATTGTTTAGAGATCAATTAGGAGAGAGGCAGTGTTTGTATGGTAACATACAGTAGATAAACCTCGGCTTACAAGCAAAGATAAACGGTGTTATTGAATGAGCACAACAAATCTGCTAGAAATGATCTGTTTTCAGATATCAGTCCAAATCTCAATCTTGAGCATCCCTATTTGGTGCATGTGTGTTTAAGAGTGTGTGTGTTGATGGAGGACAACCAGGAGGAGGACCTCGAGTGTAAGGGCCATAATTGACTCTGTGCGCAGGGGGAGGTAAATGGCCTGGCTGTATATCATCAGCTGGAGTGAGTCGGCACCTCTCAGGAGCTTCGGGCTTTCTTCTCATAAACACTATCTCAGGCCCAGGCACACAAATGGGTTTCCAGATAAGCTACGAGGCCTGGCCCTGCTGAAATCCATTCACTTTATTTATGATGCTTTGCGCTCATCATAGCCGAGGGGCCACACTGTTCTGGACAACGTGCAGGATGACCGGCGTTATCTGTGCTGCCCTAACACATCTGAAGTATCACAGCTCATGATGTGACTGTCTCTGCACATGTGCCACTGCAAACAAGCAGCAGCCCATTTTCTGGCAGGGCTCCAGCACGCTTCATTACTATGCTAAGATTATCATTCATCCACAGTAGCAGAGAAAATGCAAGAGCCAAAAAAGCTTTCAGGCCTGCTGAGTGTGGCCAGAGGAGGCTGAATGAGCATCAAGGGTTACGCTCTGATCATCTTAAAAGGTCTTTTTCATCTTATGGGGAAGGATAAGATGTGAGGCTATAGAGACAAAAAATAGAGAATGATGACAGTCTTGTGGTGCCACCTGTGTTTACTGAGGCTGAACAGCCTACAGCACTGCCATTTCTCTGTATCTAAAAAAACAACAAAAGGTTTCACCCTCTGGTAAGTCATTCAGTATGGTAGATTTAGCACAATGTCTCTAAACTGCTGCAATTTAATCTCTTCTGTGACGTTACTGCGTCTCAGATTATTTGCTCTCTGTTAACAGCTGGTGGAGTCAGAGTGGTACCTGTTCTGAGCCGTGAAGGTCTCTCTCTGTGGGTGGAGGCCGCTGTACACCACTCTGATCAGGTCATGTTGACAGAGGGCCCCCTCTGTCAATGCCATGGACCCCAGGCTAGAAGGCTGCACACACAGGAGAAAAACAAAGGTTATAAAACACTTGTCCACCATGTTGGCTCCTACAACATGATAGTACATCAGCAGTGATGCTGCCTGCAGTGCCCTTCATGTTGTTTAATGACAACCTCGGGGGCTTCTGCTCTGTTCAGATGGAAAACTGCTGTGATTAGTGTGGAGATTTTATTACAGGGGAATGATATAACTACAGGACCTCTGCCAACCTGGCAGCACCTGACTTCTCTCTGTTGGCTTTACTTATCAGTTTCTAAATTTGAGAATCGTTTCCAATTTTAGTCGATAAATTGCTGACTGTACAACTCCTACACTAAAAGTTATGTGTTGCAACTTGCCTTGTATCTTCTACAAATTCCTTCACACAACATTAAGCTCTGAATTTCTGCACTAGTTCCTTTCAACTTCTTTCTCTTTCCGTTTTCTTAAAAGGCTTCTGCACACCTGTACTGACAGGTCAGGGTTTTTCCTGCTGTGTTTAATAGTGAAGGTGTGCCGCCCTCGCCTGACACAACAATCACCTCTGATAACGAGATAAAAGGTAATTCACTTTCATGAATTAAAACATTAACCTTTGGCGTGGCAAATGTCAAGGTGTTATTTTGCACATCACGAGATACCTTCAACGACTTGTTCAGGCCGTCATTTACTAAGCTGATCATGAGACAAGATTTGTCAGGATCTCAGTGGCTTACTGCCACCTTCTGCTCCTGTCGGTCGTTACTGGGTCATGCTTTTATTGGGTAATTATTGGCAATAGGTATGGAGAGTATAAAGCACGCGTACCTGTTGTCTAGTATTAAGTTAATCCAGAACAGTTGGACACGTTCCCAACAAATATGGTTGATAAGGCAATCAGCAAATTAAACTTAAAGGGACAGTTCACCCCAAATTCAAAAATACATATTCTTTCTCTGAAACTTTACTGAATGGGGGCCAGATTAAATAACATGAAAATGCCTGGGGGCCAGCTGCTTCTCACATCATATAGGCTATTTTAAAAAAAATCATACAAATGCAACTATTTCATCTTTAAGTGAAGAATTCAACTTTGTGGCGCCCATGAAAGCGGCAGTCCTCGCTGTCAACTTTACATGTCTGTGCTGTCGGGCTGTGTATTGGCAAGAATCTGGCAACAGGATACGCATCACCACACAGGGGTTATGATTCAGTTAAATGGGAAATACTGCAATATTGTAAGTAAGGCAATTTAAATTGTGGTATTTTTAAAATCTAACTGAAGGAAGACTGTCATTAAGAACACTCCATCATCTGCATAAAATTTGACTAGAAAAAGTTAACTTTTTCAATGCAATCAGAACAGTAGGATCTGTATTTATCACAGCTCCTGTAACACGGTAGTGATATGTTGTTATGTTGGAGTGGGAGAGTCACATGACTGAAAACAACACTGCTATCTAGCAGTTAGGGGTTTAAACACAACATATGCAACCTATTAATACAAAAATGTCAAAAACACTGTATCACAAAACATGAAATCCTGATACTAAAGTGTGTCAATATTTTCTTATACTCCTACTTTGCTGTGGTATTGTCTGCGACCTAGTAGGAACGTCTGCTGTTAGGCAACCATTCATTTGTTTGTTTACCATCTGTTAATGAAAACAAGTTTGTTCTGCCTGTGTAGTTCCTACTGGGTGCATGTCTACAACCTGTATGACAGTCCTGCCTCTGTGAGGTGAATGGAAAAAATGCAAAGTGATCTTGCATAATTAACCAATAATGTGTGGGGCTAAATGTAATATACTCTGAGCAACAAGCTGCAGGCTGTTGGCCAGTTTTCAGACATGCCTGCTCTTACCTGTGGTGTTATTTATCAGTCTAGATTGTTTTGGTGTGAGTTGCTGAGCGCTGGAGATAGGACATAGAGATGTCTGCCTTCTCTCTAATGTAGTGGAACTAGTTGGCACTCGGCTTGTGGTGCCAAGTGCCAAACAAAATACCCACAGCGATGTCTCTTTACAGAAATCATGACCTGGTTATTCAAGATAATCCAAAAACCTTGTTATGAGCGGTTCATCTAGGAATTATTGTAGTTTAGTTTATTTGACAATAATTAAAATACATCAGTAAAAACTACTGGCGTGTATGGCACAGGTATGACAGGATAAAGTCCAGGACTTTTCCATTGCTGTCCCTGATGTTCCATCAGACCTTCCACTACACCACAAGATGGAAACAGCCATTAAATGCCCAAAGTGGAAAACACTTGATCATAAAGCCCCACATCTCAACACAGCAACTCAAATGTATTTTTTCAGCACTTTGAGTGCCACAAGCTGAGTGCCATCTAATTCCATTATACTTGAGAGAAGGCAGACATTTTTACGTCCATTATCTCCAACACTTGACAATAGTACCACAGGTAAGAGAAACAATACATGTATTTTTTGATTTTAGGGTGACATGTCCCTTTAGAATAGAATAGAATAATACTTTATTGTTTACCTTATGCATGCAGAAGGCATGCATAAGGCATGCTCCTCTTTCTTTCATGAGTAAAACAGAAAGAGGAAGTGGCACAGGTAATGATTGATTTATGTCTGGGAATATGTCACAAGCCCACTTTATTCTGATGGCGTGTGGAGTGAAAGTGACCCCTAAATTGAATTGATATTCTGTCCTAAGTATCTTGGGTGATTCTGAGTAGAGAAGGAGGGGACGATGGATTAATACGAAAAAGAGAGACTGGAGTGTATGCTAATGATGGAGGCCTGGGGATATGGTCCTGTGATGTGTGGTGGCATACTACAGCATCCTTGGAAGCTTGTTGTGATTCATGCATACACGAACCCCCCACCCCACCCCGCCTCCACGCTTTCTTCAATCTCACAGCATGGAGGAAAGAGCCTCTCAAGCTTGTAATTACAACGATAAATCGCCTTCAGCACATGCCACACACTGTAGTCTCATCAACACTCACACACTAGCACCCACTGAGGGCCGTCATACTGTATGAAAATATACTGTGCACTTTCTGCCCTGCTTTGCGTAGCAGGAAGAAAAAGTCTAAAACTGTAATACACACTGCTTCTTTCTGCTCTCAGTAAATGGTCCTAGGTCAGCACATCCTGTTAAACACCTTCCTAATGAATTCCAACACAACAGTCAATACTGTGCCCTGTTAGAGCAGTCAGGGCAGAAGTCGGGGGCGTTGGACAAACCCAGCACGACAGAGTGAGAGACCAAAGCAGAATAAACAGGACTGAAAAAGTTAAAAGTCACCTCATTTTAAAATAAAAACGTCCAACAGAAATAGAGAAGTTTGAGTGTAAGTGCAAACTGTAAAGGATTTTTCCTGGATAGTCCTTATTGGCCTTAAGTTTTCATGCAAATGTTTTCAAAACTAGATTTATGGAAAACAAAAGATAGAAAAGTGGCTCGGGCAGAGAGGAACTTCAGGTGTTGGTATGCTCAAAACAAAACCGTGAAAAGCCAGACATCATGTTCTGCCCTGGTAGCTTGCTGGGTAGAGTGCATACCACTAAAGCTGATGCCTCACCACGGTGGCCTGGATTTGAGTAAAGCCTGGGACACTTTGCTGCATGTCCTCCCCTTTCAGGTTTCCTTCCAAACGCATAGGTGTCCATCCAAATGTAGAGCCAATTTTAACTGAATGCTCTGAAAATCGTTTACTTTCCAGTCAGGTGCCACAGAGGAGGAGGGCACAATGAGATGGATATATAACGGATGTATATCACGAAGAGGACACTGGAAATCCTGAGTTTTAAACTGCAGCTTTGTGCTCTTGGAAGATTTTTAGTAACAGCCCTGTGTGCATACATACGTGTGTTGACAGCTACCCATTTGCTGAATCTGTTCCATTGCACTAATCTGCATTTACCTCTCGATACACCAACTTTACCCCCTTCCTCAAGCTTTAAAACTTTTTTGCTGTATCTCCGAGAATTTATCAACTTATAGAGTTTCCACTTAATTTTATGTGCAAAACAGGTGGATGGAAACACACCTATAGAGAAGGGCGCCAAACATCGGACAACCTTTCCTCAAAGACTTTCACAGTGAAGCTTTTGGTTGCACGCACAAAAAGTGAGAGAACTACCTGTGTGAAAAGTCCCCCCCTTAGGTCCAGTGTCACACACATACTGACACCTTAAAACACAGAGATGGATCAGCGCTGGAGGTGAGGTTAATGAAAATTGACCTTCTGAGGCAGTGGACACTGAGGAGGTGTCATCTTCCAAATAGCCACTAAAATAGGTCTGTATAGCAGTCAGTGGGAAGGAGGCACAGGCAGAGAGAAACAGCAAGAGAGATAAAAAGAGAAAGACAGGAAAGGCAGGAAGAGTGAAAGTACAAAAAACCTGTAAAACATTGATTGATAGTCCAGACAGGAGCCCCACCTCATGATATATCGATGGTTTGGACAGGGAGGGGATTGTGAAGGAGAGGAGCTTGCTGTTGCCGTCTTTGTCCACGATTTCCTGCAAAACAAATCAGACAGAGAAGCCGTGTCATTAAAGCAGCGGAAGATTGTTTTTAACAGTCTGGTGCTTGATGCTCATTTATACTGAGAGTCAGTAAATGTCTGATTTAAATTCAGAGTTCTAGCTCCATGATTTTACCCCTGTTTAGCCCTTCTCTGTGGACTGGGGAAAGCATTTAGCAGCACACGATACACATTTGCTGTACAGTCCAGTGTCCCTCACGCTGTTTAGCTGTTGTACGACCGTTCTGCTGGTACATGTTATTGACTCTGACAGATTAAATGTCACTGCCAGCACCCTTGCCACTCAATTCCAATTTCACACTGCGATACATAACACAAAGATGAATGCGTCCCTGAAAATGCCTGATCTCCACCAGTTGCAACCACAGTCGAAACGATAATGAAGTACATTCACAGGGATGTCGAGTTGAGCATTCTTCATTCGGCAGAAAGCACTTGTTATTCCTACTTGGCTCTGTAAACCAATTACGTGCAGCTGAGGAGGATTCAAGTTTGTGTAAAAGTTATCAAAGCAATTGTCCTTTACAGCATGTGAGCACTGCAGGCACCGTTAACTGATTCAGAGACAGAAATAATGGTATAAAGCACCTGAGTTTTATCTGAATCATATATGGCAGATGTGGCAGGTAGGTGGAGTATTCATATATCATTAAATATGGATAAATGTGCTTTTAAAACAATTGTTTTTTCACATGAAGTCATCAAAATGGTCAGATTTCGACTGAAAGTCAATGAATGCAAAGAAAACAACAAACACCAGTTTACCCATCCCTCGTCCAAGCATCCATAATCTAGGTTTTGGAATGTGGTACCAAAAGGGCTTTATCCCTTTCATCTCCCTTTCTCCCTGTCAGTTCAGGCCTTGTCATCAATGGCTAGCGGTATATCTCTGAATATCTGATGGGACTGTCGAGAGCAAAGCTGTTTTTCAAAGCTCCCTTGTCAATGGCCAAAGGAGAGAGGTCTATGAGCATGTACAGCGTTGCGTGTGTGTGTGGAATGGTATAGACACAGAGGAATAAATTATGCATGGATATACCTTTAGCCGTGGTGGCTGACATGGAGCTCTTTCTATTGATATCTTGAGCTCTTAGCCCATTTCCCCAAGGGTGTTTCCTGGTGATGCAATCTATCCTGGGTCTATCCATTAACCGGGGCATTCCCTGCAGATCATCTTTCGTGTCAACAGATGTACAGCCTCACTAATGTTCCACCTGTATTAGGTCTTAAAGATAAGCGATGATTTGCATATCAACATTTAGAGAGCCATTCATAGCTATCTTCGCGGTTGTAGAAGCCTTCTGCGCTAGGGGGGTCCGGGGGCTTGCCCCCCCGGATAAAATTTTGAACATTTGACATCTAAATGAATTAATCTGGTTGGGGCCGGGCAATTTTAGGCAATTCTGAGCAACAAGAGGCAGAATAGGAAGACAACAAAAACGTCTGCATTAAAATGTACATTTTACATCAGTTGAGGCTTGAACTCACGACCTTTGACATCAAGGAGCATCTTCTATCTCTCTGAATTGCAGCCCCCAACCTGTAGCCATTTCTCTCTCTCTCTCTCTCTCTCTCTCTCTCTCTTTCTATGTGTGTGTGTGTGTGTGTTTTCATCTCTCTCGTGTCTAGACCAAACTGAACAAATATTTATAGACGGACAAGCAACATCATAATTAAACAGGCTTTTATTTTTAAAATTTATTTTATTTTGAAAATTGGCTGGATTCTCTCATCTTTTCGGTGTCTGACTTCCTGTTTGGTACGATCCGCTCTATCCAGCTTAACAGAAGCGCTCGCAGCTCGCGTGAAAAATAGACCAGACGAACTGAAGCACTGCAGTGCACGAGCCTCCATGGGCGCTCCGCTTTGCTCAGCGGCCTGTGTGGAGAGTCAGTCAGATAGGTTAACATGGGCGCCGATTGAAAACTGCCTCCGCTGCTGGGCGCTGCGCTTCGAATATTCCTGTGCCGGAAATCCAGCACCGTGCCGGAGAACTTCAAGCCCTGCATTAATCCACATCAATCAATAAATCAATCAATTTTATTTATAAAGCCCAATATCACAAATCACAATTTGCCTCACAGGGCTTTACAGCATACGACATCCCTCTGTCCTTAGGACCCTCACAGCAGATAAGGAAAAACTCCCTTTAACGGGGAAAAAACGGTAGAAACCTCAGGAAGAGCAACTGAGGAGGGATCCCTCTTCCAGGATGGACAATAGATGTCGTACAGAACAGATCAACATAATACATTAACAGTAATCCATATGACACAATGAGACAGAAGGGGAGACAGAGAGATCCACATGAACCAGTACAAAAATTGTGTAAACTGTTATGCATCCTTAAAGTCTGATAGTAAGGTCTTTGTCAACTGACAATGATGTGGCAACATAACAGTCACATTATACTGGTATAGCCAACTATTGCATTATGTTCTCTAAGAGTTAAGTTCAACTGCAGGAATTTGGACACAGCAGCCATCCCTGCTGGCCATGTATGACCATAATGATGATGATAACGGTGTGGGTCCCTGTCAGGGTCAGTTACAGGCCAACATATCTCAAGCTGTAGGGATTTCTCTAAAGGACACTACACCTAGATGATCTTTGACATCTGCACACACAGTCCATGTAAAGGAGAATTACCCATCAGGATAATTGGAACTAAGGATGGAACAATGTACGCAAACCTTGAGAAAAACTTACACATTAAGCTGATTGTGGTGAATTTCCATTATTGCGATAATTGTGAATATCATATCCAGCAGCACCCAGAGAGAATGCTGGGCAACCAACAATAAAAGAGACTGCAAAAACAGGCAGCAAAAGATATGGAGCCATTTTAAATAGTCGAAAAATCTGGCTTTTCATGATTGTTTGATTGGTTTTCACTGAAAAGTATGATCACTAAAAGAAGACGTGTCCTCTCTGTGATGCAATAGAAGTATTTGTTTCTCAACAAAATGCAAGGTAAAGGGATTCCAGTATGTTCAAGCACCATTTTAAGAGTTTTAAGCGTGAACCACAATTATTTTGGCCAGGATAATCGTGCCTAGTTGGAACAATTTACATTTTCTTATTCTTTACTGATCTTTTGCTCTGTTACAGCAGTGATATTTTTCTGAAGGCACTTTGCCGTTGCTATTTTGCATCCCTCTTATATAGGTACTTCGAACTAGGGATGCAAAATGGCTCACAAGCAAAGCAAGTATGTATACATTGTACAAAGTCCTGCCTTTAACCCCTCATACCCCTGTGGAGACACCCACCAGGTTATAGATGCCCAGGAGGAGGGCCTCGATGCACCCATTGCTCTGGCGATCCCTGCTCGCTGTGACGCGCAGGTATACCCACACCAGCTCGGGCAGAAACTGCAGGGTAAAGCGGCGCAGGCGGTCTTCAGAGCTCCGGTACAGCTCGAACAGTTGGTGGCACACAGGCTCCAGCAGCTGGATAGGAAGGGGGTGGGGCATAAGTCAATGCAAATAAGTACAGGTCTGAGACAAGAGTGGAAATACAACATTAATCAAATTAATATGACTGTGTGTCTGTGGCAATAGGAAAACCTGCTCGCTAAAAGCATGAATGTCGTCCTGACTTGGTGGAACGGACAGATGGAGGGAACGTTTTGCTGCCGCTTAATAGTGGGAGGTGTGTCGGAGCAAAGGGGATAAATCACTACAATGGAAGTCTGGTCAGATGTACTCTCAGGGGAGCAAGCTGAGCCAAAGTGTTTATACTGTCCATGGGTCAGTGAAGTGAGTGCCCACACAGCGCTACTCTGTGTGTATGTGTGTGTGTGTGTGTGTGTGTGTGTGTTGGACTGTGGCTGACCCTGAAATAAGCGGCAACTCATTAATGAACTTGGCAAGACATCTGGCCCTCCATGTCATCAGCACAAAAACACCCAAACACGCAACAGTCAAACACACTATCCAACTTTTCTCCCTCTCTCTTTCACTCGTACACACACACACGCACGCACGCACGCACACACACACGCACACAAACTCTCTCTCCTGGATCACTTGTCCGACCATTAATGGGATTGTGCAGCCAGATTGACAGCACTAATGGAATTTAGATCCCTGGTTGCTTGACACCCAAATTCGACCATGAAAGAGCAGGGGGAAAATGGGGGAAGAGAATTGGAGGCACCAACTGTATCATTAGTGAAATTAAAGTCCTGTCTCGTTGAGTACCTCAGGCCTTTGCTCAAAAATTGTGTCATTGGGTCCTTAAAGAGAAAATACAGGTTTGGCCTGTATATGAGACATTATAGATAGTTTGGACTTTCTGAAGTAGGGTTGTATGAGGTACCCACCCATAGTCTGTGTATTACCTACAGGATGGTGGTCAGCAAGCGCCCAGTTTGCAGAAGCAGGCAGGAGCACAGCAACAAAAGCTTAGCAATATACTACTGTGGATACTCCTGCCTGCTTCTGCACACTGAGGTTGTGCCAACCACCATGTACTGTAGGTAATACACTGATTATGGATAAGTACCTTATGCAGCTCCACTTCAAAAAAAAACATCCAAACTGTCCCTTCAAAAGAACAGTGAGGTGCTTGTGTGTTGCAGCACACATAAATTATCTGTGTTTGTATCTTTGACTATGCAGGTATCCTCTCCAGTGTGGGCAGCAGATGCTCCAGTCTATCACAGTGCTGTGTGTGCCTGTGCTTGTGTGTGTGTGGGGAACACACTGTGTGCCCCCACACAGGTGACGTGGCTGGCATTGCCCGTCCATCATACACTCCCAGAGTACAGTGTGCTTGTCTTTCAGTGTGCATGTGTAGCCTGCAGACACAGCTGTGTGTCACTTTCTTGCTCGCTGCCAACGGAGACTACATCATATGAGTCACAAGCAGCACGGAGCTAAAAACGGCCATACTTGGGACTCTGTGAGTATGTGTGCCCCCTGCGCCCTCTCACCTCATTGTTGGGGTCCTGGATGACTCTGTAGAGAGCTGGCACCAGAGACTTCTTTAGATGAAGGCTGCCGGCGTAGCTGGGGATGTGGGTTTCTGGTAAGGACTGCAGAGAGGAGACAGAGAGAGAACAGTTTGCTGAGCAACTGCACAGTTTTTTACATTTCTTCAGAACAGTGGTATGACACAGAAGGGCTATGCATCATTTTTTCCCTTGCGTCACCATTATTATGCATCAGAAACAGCATTTTCAAAATGAAATTAAACATTTTAGAAGTATAAATATCTACCGGGCTTTATTGTAGCTAGATACTGACATTTAGGTTTTCGAGATGGCCCTTTACAATTTAAAGCAAATGCACACAGAGGTGTAGCCTGCCTAGACTTCTACCCATCACAGTGTGGAACCTCTACAAACTGCGATGACTTACAACTCCATCATTACTTTGTTGCATCTGTTGGGGCAGGACAACTTCCATTGTTATTATTTGTGGTGTCCAAAAGCACTCTCATGTTCACTCATTAACGTCCCCATATACAATAAAGTTTAGTCAATAGGGAGCAGTAAATTGAGATTTTGGACACTTACTGTACTAATCATCCTCATTTTGAGCCAATACTGACAAATGTAGGGCTGCGCAAATTCAACGATATTACATTGTGAGATTGTTGACGGAAAGAAAAGTACATGCTGTCGACCCTAGAAATTGACCGATCCACAATTTTTCAGTTCTGATTCAATTTTGATACCTGGATTTGAATATGTGCCAATAGTAGAACTCTTTTTCCATAAAATTTGCATTGCTTCACAATTTTGCATTAAATTCAAATATATTCCAAAGCAATTTATTCAAACTGTACGTTAAGTGGGCTTCACATCTAAAACAAGTGTAGAAGTGCAAATTGCTTTGGCAATACCTTAATGTTTTGAAAAACCTGAACAAATCAAGTGCACAGCAACGCACTATCAACCACTAATAAGTAGATTTCTTTGAATGACTTCAAAAGTTAAAAGAGAATTACAGAACTGGAGTCGTACTCTCCTCGACCCAATGTGTTTTGAGCTTGGAGCTGTCACTCGGCCTCCATGCTAAGGACGCCAGCATAGCTAACTAGTTTCTTGGCAATTGTCCCAACGCGGCCTAGGGGACATTCTCCATGCACATTTAAACTGGGATTGGAAAAAGAAAGATAGGCCATTGATCATTTGAGTTGGGTGCGGCGTCATGAAGGTTGTTCAGACAGTAAGCATCGCTCCACCTGCATACCAGCGTGGGTTTGTGGGGACTAGAGGGGCAGACAAATTCTCTGCAAGTAAATGCCAGGCACCTTAGGCATAGTAACCAACATCAGCCTATGAAATCTGGATCAGTACGTGGATTGATGATGCCAGTTTGATATCAAATTAGTGAATTACGTCAGTATCAGAACCAGACACTGAATCGAATCGGTCTCATCTCCAGTGGACGCTACATTTTTTTTGCGGACATTTTTGCAAACTTTAACCTGATGAAAGGTCTAATCAGCCAGAGTGGCTGAAAACACTTGTGTGTGGGTGTTCAACCATCATTCAGAAATGAATGCATCATAGTAGACAGAGGTGGATATACAGATGTCTCTAGCAGCAGCTGCCCAAATACACCGTCTTTCTGGTCTATTGGAAACCTTATGCTATGTCATTTGTAACCACTCTTTCCACCTATATGTAGGACCCACAAATTCACACCCATAGGTCTTTTTCACAGCAAATCAAAGGTGTTCCTGATGAAATTACCGATGGCTCGGTTCTTTTCAAGTGTCCCAGTTAGCCAGCATGCACAATACCAAGAGTCAAACTGAGGCAGCTAAATGAGATTCAGCCATCATTAATTGAATTATTCACACCGTCCCACCAAAACGTTTTGATGAAAAATGCCTACTCTCAAAGGATGTGTTAAAAAGCATTCTGGGAAATGTGGAGAAATCAGTGACTGGGGAATTCAGTGAGGAAGGTTAAATGAAAGTGGATTACATTCATAAAAGGGGAATCACAAAATGACTCTGAAGGAAATGAACGTCAGAAAGTGCTGATATCTGACAGGCTCAGAATATCCTGCGGTGGAATTCTTTAAATGGTCAAGACTGTGTGTTTGTCTGCAGATGACAGGAGGCAGAGATATCGTCTCTGCCGGGCCTAAGTATGGTCATTTTGAGGACGGAACACAATGTGCCCGGTCTGCACCAACTCACACAATGAGTCATACCAGTCCCTCACTATTCATCATCATACTCCCTCTTTTTCTCGATTTCACAATTCTGTGCTCTTCTCTGCACTACGCACTAATTCCTTATTTTTATGGCCCATGCTTGCACTCCCTAGATCTTATACAATTTCAAATACTTAAAGTACAGTGGATTTCAGGACGTCGCAGATTTAAGAGGCTCAGGTCAGCTTTCATTGGTCTGACCATTTGTGTTATTGTTTATCCAGGTGAGGCCATGTAAGGTTCTAGTTTCCAATGTCCACGTTTCAGAAACAAAGAGTCTTGAAGCAGCCACATTTCCAATATTGCTACACTGAAGGTTAGGTATGTTTCAGTCAGGTCGCTGAAATTCCTCATGTTTAAATAAACATCCTCATACCCAACTGCAATGGGTGCATAGTTGAAGCTAACATGTAGTTCCTATAAAGCATTAAACAAGAGTAGGCTCTTAATACAGTACGTCAGAATTAAGAACTGAAAAGCTTCTGCGCTGTGTAATAAGTACATCCTAATAGAATAATTTTAACAGGAAATCTTAGCACACCTGACAAATTAACTGCTGATGCAATCATCTTTCGGATTCAGAGGATGACTGTCATTTAAAAGTCCTGCACTGGGTTTGGGTGATTAATTAAAGCATATTTTTGTGAGTTGGGCGATGCAGATTGGATATCATAAAGAGTCGGCTGGGTGCGGATGGCCTATTAAAGAAAACCCAACTCACGCATTACTAATAGGAGGAAAAGTAGGGAAAACCTGTGTGAGAATGCACTGTGAATGGGCTCAAATGTGCCAAAATAAATATAGTAACTAAAATCCAACATACGTACATATAGAAATTATATCGCCCTGACCCTATTTCATGTCTTTAAACAAGGGTCAGATGACTCACTGAGGGCTTTGAAATATGAAAATGTGCATCTTAATCAAAGGGGTGTGTCAGTAATCTGCTGATGCTAGTATTAGTGTGCTGCCACTAACAGGGATTACCTGAAAGTACAAGTGATGTTGAGCACAGCTGACCTTAAATCTATATTACAACTGACAAATTAGCTTTAAATGATCCATATAGACATAACAAGCTTTCCAGCAGGAAAACTGTTGTCATTTCATATGGAAACTAATGATGACTGCGATCTGACTGGCCTGTGTGTGCAAAGTCTTTTCACACTTTATACGCATGCAGGTAAAAAACAGCTTCAGTAAAAGCATGATGATGCTGATAAAAGTAAGACAAGTCTCACAGTTTAAATCAAAGTGTATCCGTTCTGTAAAATGGAAGACCAAAGAAATGCGTCAGGTAAAGTTTGTGTTGATCCTGAACTGGATTAGTTCAGCTCACACTGCTGAAAGCAGAGCTGACCCTGAGTCTTAACCATCCTAAATGCCCACAGTTCATGGCTGCATTCACCAAAGTTAATTACAATTTACCAAGGACTGAAGTGTTAAAGGTGACGTGCACAAACCTGCACACACAACACTTCCTTTCATCGCAGTTACACCCACAGCTTGTGGTTTCTCTGACGAAAAAAAAAAAAAAAAAAAAAAAAAAGATGACCTCCAGGAGAACATTTCACTGACATGAGTCATGATGGAGCACAGAGGAGAGGAGGGCCTTTTACCTTGAATTCTGAGAGCCATTCTTCGACAACTCCGCGCTCTGAACCCAGCATCTTCCTCAGAGACCCCCCCTTGGCTGCCTGGGGGACGGAGAAACACAGATGACAGGGGGGAGAGAGGGGAGATGGGGATATAGTGATAGATAAGGAGAAAAGAGATTGTGAGGAAGGAGGAGGAGAGATGGGTGGGGGCACAGTAGAGGAGAAGCAAAGAAAACAGTTAGAGGAAGACAATAAGTGAGTACAGACCATGTGCTTGCAACAACATGACAACGGGAAATATGAATCGTGCTGCTTGTGATTGGTTGGGCAGGTCTATGGGCGGGTACTGCACATATTTATGGTATTTTATTATCTATTTCATTAGGGTATTTTTTCCCTGTTTAAGAAAGAACATTAACTGAAAAACAGCAAAACTGGCTAGAGAGGGGCTTTAAAGTCTTGCAAGTTAAAACTTAAATAGAAAACATATCCTGCAGGGACAACACTAATTAGTTATCTTAAAGACTATGGTGCAGAGTGGAAATGATAAGAAATGGGATACAACATGTAAAAATGCCTCTGAGTGTGGAAGATATGATGCTGACCACACTGTTACATAAGGAGCCACCTAAGTGACCTCGCCTGTCACCGTGGATAAGCAATGACATGACCATGAAGCACTACGGGCAGTCATACGGGCTTTCCCTTGACTGTTCAGATCTGAAGTGGCCAAGCTTGAGTCTTTTTTGGTCCTTGGCTCGAGTGCATTCTTATGAAATCTTGTGAAACAGACACAAAACCTCACAGGGCAGCTGAACTCTGATATAAATAGCAATGACGTTAAAAACAAAGCCTTAAAAAACACCCATAAAAACCCTTTTTTTAATTAAAACAGGAAGCTAGAGAACTGAACTTCCTCTGTGTTTATACACTTTCATATTCACAGCACATCAAGAGAGATGAGATAACAAAAGACAGTTAGTCCAGAGTCTCTTCATACATATTCTGATCTGGAGCTACAGGCACAGTGCTGGTCTCCTTCTCTGTATCCAGCTGCTAAAATTAACTTCAGCAAACTGCCCAAAATAAAAAGCTATTTCTCTTTCAGACTTCATCCCATGGAAAATACATTCTCATTAATTATCCCATAAAAAGGCTAGCTATGACGAGTGTGTGTGAGTGTGTGTGTGTGTGTGTGAATCAGTGGAGTGTGAGGTGGAGCAGTCACAGATTCCATTGACAGTTTGGATACAGACTGTAGGCGACATTGCAAGAGACACAGTGTGCCAAGCTGTCAGAATGACAGACATAAACGATGCTTATGTAATTTCAGAGCGAGGGTAAAGCTTACCATAAATGCTGAAATCCTTTCACACAATTTGACAACCTTTACTTATGACTGACATGATTGAGCTACCATTGTTAGCCTTAAAGAAAGCCAAGGGAACACAATACATGTGACAACAACCTGAAATAAACTAGAAAAAAAATACATTTTTTAAATAAAATCCACTGTGTAAAATCTATAATCATCAACGTAGAGTGGATGGCAAAGTCAATAAGTCATTAAAGAAAGAAAAGTCTTCTGTGGCACAGCAACTTAAACTACACACAACTGGCACTATATTGCCGATACAGATCTCTCACTCTAACCTCAATATGAAACCACAATGCGGTGACTGAGTCATACAGGCACACTGGAGCCATTCTGAAAACACAAGCTTACAGTTCACATGACGTGCATCCTCATTCATGCTCCATGTCTTATCTTATGATTAAGGACAGATTGAAGCTTGTGTCATCGGTGACCTTCCTATTTCAAGGACATGGTGCTACTATAAAAAACGGAAAAGATTGTTAGATGCATTGTGATTCTCTCTTGAAAAATGATTGGAAATTTAAATACCAATTCTCCTGTTCTGCCCTCTGAGTTACTGTTGTTAGGTCGACAAGCACGGCAAAAGAGGTGAGGGGGACCAACATTTGGAGTGGCCCATTTTAGCAGAAATGGACTTTAAAGCTCTTTTTGGGATGTCTGTCTCTACATTATTATGAATCACACCTCTGCTAGCGAACATACTCCTACCAGAACTTTCAAAAGAATCTTTATTGACGATTATCAATAGCAAGAACAGTCCGCAGGAACTGACAGACCGTTTTAAAGTCTTTTTTTACACATGCAGTGCGAGCACGCAGGTCGAGGCTTGACGGTTGAGCTTGGGCTTTACATTGCAGGTGATTTACTCATACAGCAGGAGGTAGAATTACAACTTCTGAAACAGGCTCAAATCATACAGTATACGCCCAGCTTTAAAGTGTATTTCTCAGACAGGAGTTTCTTACTGCCATCGACTGTGCTCAGCCGTGATGGCCCTTCAGCCGTTGCCCTCAGGAAAACTGTGGCTCATAAGCTTGTTGTGGTTTCCAATTGATGGGATTAGGGATTAGGACTAACTTACTATTTTCTCATTTCAAAGTGGGAAGATCCCACTTAACGTTTCACGCGACAGCCTCTGCTGGCTGATTGGAAGGTGTTCTTCTGCAGCCAGCACACATGCTTCGAGACAGTTCCCTCAGTCTTAGCTTTTTATCAAATACTGTGGATGTGACGGCGATGCGCAGATATCATCAATGAATGGACTATAGTATAGATCACAAACATGCTGATATAGCAGTGTGCTATGGAATTTAATCAAGATAATTTGTACTGTTAATGTTGGTGATTGCACTGATGCAACAGTCTAGACAAAAGATAACAAGACACTCTAAGTGCTTGGTAATGATTTAATTATAGCTTACATCTTCAAATTGTTATTTTAAGCACTGATCACAATGTTAGATCTGACCACTTCACTCCTCTCCCTTTGACACCAACATGTGTTCCAACAGCGTACGACATGTGACAGAGGAGTGTTGTAAATAAACTCATTGCTGCTGTATCTGGGTCAGCGTCCTTGGGTTAACTTTCTGACACATACAGAACCGAATAAAGTCAGATCACAAAGATTAAGCCGTTATTCGGAGTGTCCAGACATATGAATCTGTTCAAATTCAAGAGGGAAAAAGCTGTGTGGGCACAAAATTGGGAATATGCATACACAGACTTTGTCAGATTTAGCAAGCCCTGCTTATAAGATGTTCACGCGCTGTTCCTTTTTCTAAGTCCCAAACAGTTTAAAACTGTGTGCACAGTTCTTAATGCTCACTCCCACAGTAAGCCATGTTGACACACCCCTGTTTAATCTTATTTGGTACACCCAAATCATTACAGGCCAGGAAATGTGCAAAAGCTCCGAGGCTTCTCTGGATTTACATTTCTAATTCTCTATGTTTCTCACAGTTTTGTACTGCAAGACAAGATATGTAAACTTATTTTTGCAGGCAAAAAAAGTATGGTGCTAAATGGTGCGACTAAAAAAAATAAACAAATGCTGCAATCAAGACCTGAAAAGGAAAAAAACACAAATCTAATTATTTGATATTACATCACACTAACTGAATTAACAGCTGTTCACATCTCAGCTGCTATCATGTCAGTATTGTTTGAGGCAGAAATTGTTATCTTGCTTTTTATTTTAAACTTCACAACACATCCACTTCATTCAGAAGCATTTTTCTTTATCTTAGACCACCTACTGTAGCCTCCAACAGTTTAAAGGCACTTCAGTATTTCAAACCCGTATTTAGAGGTTACCGACTTAAACAAATCCAACATAAAACGACGCACGGCTCTCTGAATGGTGCAGATAAGCCTGAAAATGTTACAAAACAGGCTTAGGGGAGCAAAATATCCGATTTGCTGTGGGGCTAGAGGAGACCGAGATCATGTTCGCTGCTCAGAGCAGATGACAATCTGAACGAGTCAAATCTTTTTGTGTGAGCGTGCTCCTTAAATCTGAGCGTGTGAATTGAAAGGCTCCATTTAGTCAGCTTGTTCAGCTCTTCATGAAAGGCTGACTCATTCATTTCCTCTGGCTTGTCAAACTGTCAAAGACTCACTGAAGTGAAATTCTCCATCGGCGGGGCAGGCTTATCAGTTACCATGGGAACTGTAGTCAAATGACTTTGAGGCAATGGCAAATATTCACCAAAAAGAAACGTCCTTTTGTATAAGCTTGGATCATACTGCCGTCATGATGTACTATATATATAAAACAAGGGGCTGCTTTAAGCGGAGAGTTAAAGATGAGCTGATAGTCTTACCATGACTAAAATCTGAGAATATGAGATGTGAAACATGAAGAGATGTTAATTTTTGTTGCTGTTTTGTTGCAGCAGTACCATGATACTTAAATTGTAATAACTAATTGTGTTATAATTTCTTGCTTTTTTGGTTTAATTGCATAAACAAGACATATAAGAGTGAAAACATTAAAGACAAAGTATTTTTCTGCTGGAAAAGATGCAAATACTTTAGAAACTGGTGTTATATGACTAGAAAAAACACAGAGAAGGGGGCTGTGGCATTCCTTTTTACTCAAAAGGTGGAAAACCTACAACTACCAGAATGCCCTGCACCGTTCCAGAGCAGTAAACGCATCAAATCATGAGTGATGTATTGTCCATTTGACACAATGGTTGCCAGCTGGTAACAAACGATCTCTAATTACAGTCAAACAGTAAGCTAAATATGTTTCTGAAAACATTTTAGAAGACAAAAAGGCAATGCAGTAACATAATCTTGCTTTAAATTTAATCAGAGCTGCTTAGTTTTACCGTTTGATCTCAGTTTTTGTCAGCATAATTTTTTATAATGCAGGAAACAGTATGGCCAGTTCCTGTTCACGAATTCTCATATTACAGCCAAACAGTGCACTGAAAAAAAAGTTTCTGAAGACATTTTAGGCAAGAAATAGGCAATACAGTAACATAATCTTGCTTCAGATTTGATCAGTGCTGCCTAGTTTTACAGTTTGATTGGAGTTTGGTCTAAGTTTGAAAGAGAGCACCATTGAAATGCTTCCATGCTCTTTGTGTCTGTGGTGGCGGGCAACATGAAAATACTGAGGTACAATCTGCAGTTTGAGTAACAGCCCCAGAGCCGGACGACGCGAAACAAACAGGGAGATCTAGGTGCTGGTAAGATGGGGGGAAGTTTACCACAACTCATTTACACATACTATGCACATAGTGATGAAACAAAGCTGGTTGAAAATTGGCAAAGTATCTGTTTAAACTTGAGGAAAACACATATGCTTTATTTCAAGGACAACAGCTGTGACTGTGACATTTGGGAAAAAAAAAAAGAGATCAATGAGCTCATCAAGGGGAGGAATCTCGTCAGCAGCTCACATTTAAATCTCATTTGCAGTTTCTGGCATCATCAGTCACTTTCAAGGGAAACATTTAACATGATTAACAATGACAATGTAACGCACTGAAATCACTTGTGTTCACCAAGAGAAATGATTTTTATGGCAACAAGGCAGAAAATGAATTCAAGTTCTTCCCGATTCAGGTGATCATGAATATCAATAGAGCGGCGAAGTCTCTCTATGTACAATAATCAAAAGCGAGAGACAAATCATTTTTTGATTCCATTTGAATTATGACATGAATTATACTTTCGATGTTTGTCAATTTAAAACATAATTTTGCAAGTCTTGGCTGTGTTCCATGCGTAAATGTTATGTTATCTTACCCTTTTTATCGGTCAGTGAGCAAAAGAATAAGCAAGACCTGTTGCTCATGTGAGTGTATCCCAGTAGAGTAGTTTGTGTAGTTTTTCTAGTTACGTACTTTTACAGTTTTATACCTCAACAGTTTTACCACAAACAGTGACTTTCTTGACTTTCACAATTAGTTTTTAAATTTATAAAGATCATGTGTAATTTATGGCAATATTTAAATGGGATAAAAAAATAAATAATCCTAGAGCACACTGAACAATTTCCAGCTTTTAATAGACTAACATTTCTACAAAAAAAAGTCAAAAAGAGGACAAAAAAAAATTACAATCAGTGTTAACTATGGTCCAGATTTTTTGCATAATAAGGTCACACAGTGGTCCACTGGAAGGGGAGGGACTTTGCCTCTGAAATACAATATATGAGGCAGTATGAGAGGCCTGTTTCTGATGCGTCCTGTGCTTACCTCAGTGTCCCAGAACTCAGATCTCCACTGGGAGAGGCAAATGGTTGTCCACAGTGTCACACATCTGTCAATCACTGAGGGTCACCTGCAACAACAAGAACTTGATCAGATCTTCACTGAAAGAAATATAAGAATAGTCGTCATCAGTATTAAAAGGTAATAATTAAACTGGATTCATAACCTTAGATGGTTCAAGTCTTTCCTTGTCTTACACTGTAGTCAATTTAAAATCTTTTGGTTTTAGGCTGTTGGTCAAACAAAACAATATCTGATGGCATCACCTTGGGCTTCTAGAAATTGTGGCAGCCATTCTTTACAGTTTTCTTAATGAAGAAGACAACCAGCAGATTAATCGATGATGAAAATAATCATTTGTTGCACCCCCATTGTTCTGTATCATTTGTTTCTAATGTGTTTGTTTTCATACTAGATTAAAAAGATTTAATCCTTTTAGGCTTTGTGAGGAATTTCAAATAAACCTCAAAGAGCGGAAAAGGGAAATTCTCTTGGCAGCACATAACACACATGACGGATAATCACTCAGACAATGTACAAAGCAGCTGACAACATGACGACTTGGAAACCAACAAATGGTTGCTACAACAGCACAGCCACTAAAAGATGCATATTTTCAACATTAAAGACATAACTGTGATGTAGGGAGGCCTTACTACATGCACATATAGTAAAAACAAACATCATGCATTTAGTTTCATAATAAAAGCTACGCATCTGTTTAACAAACACTTTGTTTTGAAGGTTATTTTGAGGCATGGCACAAGGAGTCAATTTCCAAGTTTCCTATTGTTGCGTAGCAACAGTCAGCTGGCCGACTTGTTGTCCTCGACGGCTAAAAATGCATCTAGAGGATCCACACCCATAGTATTTACTGTACTTGGCAGAAATGAATCAAGGCTTCAGAAAGACACTGTGGAGAGGCGGCTCTGCTCTGCTGCGTGCCCCTGAGAGGCAGACAGTGCCACATCACTGAGCACTCCATCTGATGTTAAGCATTTCCAACACAGCCTTGTGTTTATCTGAAGGACTCTTATATTAGCAATTCATCACAAAGACTCAAGGAAATTACCATGCAGAAGTCCCATCTGTCTAGAGTGATGTGTATAAAGAAGGTACTTATTTTCCTTTGCCAGATAAAGCGTCTGTATGACTCATCAAAGCCGAGGGTAACAGTGGCGCCAGGTCGAGTGAATACAGCAAAGGGAGGGATGAGGGATGATTAATACAACTCAAACATAAATACATTACGTATTAGATGACTGAATTATGTAAGTTCAAGGTCTGACAGGAAAATATTTTGAATTCTTTAGGACAATAGACTACGATGAGTGCTCTTTAAATACGATCGACCTAATCTGAGGTATCATCTCTGTCCTTTTTAAAAAAAGGTAGAAATTATCTGTAACAGCTCTGTAACAATGAAAAACAGAATAAGCAGGAGTCATCTCCACCCATAAAGTCTATATGAGAACCTTTCAGAGACTAACAGGCAAGAGAAAGAGACCAACATGGCAATAGATTGGTCTTTGAATCGTTACAAAAGTCAGTCAACATTTTGTAGATACCTAAAATTATACAGTGTAAGATGAAATTATTGCACTGTGACAAAAGAACATACAGGGCTGCAGGGTGCAACAAAAACTAAATATTTTCATTGGTCACACCTGTGCATCTTCGTCTGCCCTATTTGGCCTTTGTCTGCTTTTTCGAGCTGATTCAGTTGTTGAATCGGCGCCAGTGACAGGGGAGCCCCTCTGGGAAGGAAATCACTCGGACTGGCAGTTCAGCTCAGTGCATCAGTGTGGAAGTGAGGAAAGTAAACAAAAAGCTAGCCAAGCTAGTCAAAAGGGAGGGAGATCAAAACAAAGTTGTTACATAAAGTAAGATTATTTTTCAGCAGAAACATTTCATGATGGTTTGTGTTATTGTTCACCGTCGCACAGTGAATAGGTTTTATTCTTTCAGTGTTGGATGGTATTGTTAATATGCTAACAGGCTAACTAGCGTCAAGACGATCTTCTGAATTCCCTTTGAATGAAAGATGAATACAAAGTAAAGCTGTCTGCTGGTGTGGAGAGTTGTTTCCTCTCAAGCAAGTGCAGAACGTACGTGCTGGTTGGCTATCGGCTGTACTCTCTGCAGTGTGTTCATGCACAACTTTCTGGTGATCCAACAGTCAGCTACTGCCCCCGCTAATTCCTTGATGTCATTTTGGTGTGTCTGGACCTTAAGACGAGGATGTTGTAGGGTGTATGATTGGAGACACATTAAACATGCTACATGCTAATGCTCATTCGAAACCATCACCCAGTTGTACCGATCACTGGGACGAGCAAAAAACAAACGGCAGCCGAACTCCTTATCTCTGCTACTTTTCATAAAAACATTACTAAAATTGATTAATCAATTATCACATTAGTTGGTGATGAATTTAATAGTTGACAACTCCTCTTGATTATTTGATTAATCACTGAAGCACTATCCATCGTACAGATGCAACCCAAAAGCCACCGAATCAATATAAAACCACTGCAAGAATAAGACACATTAAACATATAGCTAAGGCTAACAGTAATAATGACAATTCATTCCTTCCTTCAAAACAATGCATTATCAGCTGGAACTGTTTGTTGGTGCAACAGAGTGATTCCTCCCCACTCTGCAACCTTCTCATCCCAATATTTGCATGTCTAGTAACTACAGTGCTCCCCAGCCAGCCATCACTGTTGGCTAAATATGTCATACACTTAATGAGGCCTGGAAAATGACAATAAGCGAACTTTCCTTCAAGAGCCACTCTTCCTCTATGCAGGACCTGCTCATTGTCCTACGGTGGGGCTCACAAGGGAATAGGAGAGTGCCAACCCATCCTGTTTACGACACTTCAAACCCCAAATCACAATGACATTGTTAAACACACTGCTTAACAGTGCACAAGGCTGAAACTAAGCCAACAAGTGTATTTTGTGCATTTAGCTTTAAAACGGAGCAGTTAAAACACAGTATGTTCCTATGTGAATTTGCAGTCAGGCAGATGGATGTCTGTACCAACTGTGAGTAAATCAACCTAGTAGATTATGAGCTATTTCACTGGATAAGTGACCTGCTGATGGCACTGGAGGAAAAGTTTGTAGATCACCATCAGAAGTCAGAATTTAGATATCAAATTTCATGAAAATCCATCACATAGTATTTCACTGAAATCCAAATCTATCTACCTCATGGTGGCCCTAGGGGAAAGGCTGGGGGATCACATAAGTCATTTATACTGATCATCTGGGCAACATGAATTTCTGTATAAATCTTTGTGCAATTTATGCAATAGTTTATTCATAAGAAATTATTCAGTCTGGACCAAAGTAATAGACTGACCGACCATTTGTTCATCCTACACTACTATCCTAGAACCATGCCACTAGTGTGTCTAAAAAAAATCTAGCTTGTCAAATGTGGTCAATTACCTTTTTCCCACCAAAATTAGCATGCATATGTGGGCTTTTAAAGCATGGAAAAACTTACATTATGAACAGGCCAGAAAACAGATTAGTAAACAGTAGAAAGGCACTAGAGCCCTTCTTTCCTATACAGAGTTGTAGAGTTTGCGGGACGTTCAGGGTGACAATGACGTTCACGTTATATGGTAAACAAGTCAAGTTAGCCCTTTGAGCTATGGTTCTGCTAACAACAGATCAGAACTTTTTTTTGCCAATACTAGATATCAACCAAACTCCAAAGACTGTGTTGTATTAAGTTTTTGTGAGCTGTAAATTCATCGCTTCTGACGAGAGGGCAGAAGAAAATGTTATCTCGGAGGCTGACCGGGAAAACCCTCTCTTCCTCACCCTCCTCTGGGTCTGCAGCTGCCTGTACTGGAGAGCAGCATGAAAGCGAGAAGTGCTCGCTCTGCAGCTTAATATGGGGGCCAAAACGTCCCCAAAAGTACACTTCACACTAACTGCCTGACTTTCAGGAGGCAGCCATAAAAGATACATGGAGGCCAGTGAAAATGTGACAGTGCTTATTACTTCGTTATTATATATGGTCCTTATTCAGTCTCTGAAATAGGGTGCCACCTAACTTGGAACGTAGCAAAATGGGCGGATCTTAGCCTGTCCACCCAGGTGTCATTTTTTGCATCGCTGCTGATCTGAACCGATCAGATCTGGAGCTAGTGATTACCTGTGACAACTGCAGAGACATTTGTCCTGAGAATAAATGCCAGTTGTAACCTTTCCCAATAAAGACAAAAGCCAGATGTTAGTGGGGTTTTTCTGTCCAGTGGGAAAGGGGCTAAAGTGATTAATATTGACAAAGTTACAAACAACTGTTGCAATTTTTGTTTTATCTTTAATGTGCATTTAATTTGACATTTTTAATAAACAGGGTTACAAATCAAACAAAAATGTACATATTGAATCCATCATGGTGCGCAAGCTTTGCTTTCTCACTCTCTACACAATACAAATATATATATTTGTATGTTGATTTTATGGGGCTGAAACAGTGGAACCTTTCACACCACCGATTAATGCATAACTGAGAAAGGGGGCCAGTGAGCGGCTTAGTCAGGCATAAATTGAGGGCTGCATGTTGTTCAAACCGTATTCATGAGGGAGGAGTAAGCACTGCTCACTATTCACACTCTGACTCAGATTGTTTTCATATTGGAGCCTGGAACCTCAGCAGTCGCATGACTCAATAAGTACCGCATTTATTAGCTAAGCTGGTAAATAAAAACCCTTCATACAATCAGTGAAGTCAGTCCTAAAATCCAAAACGACACGACTGCTGCGTGTTTACCACGACTCCACTGTTACCCACACACCATGTTAGCCAGTCCTCTCCTCTGCCAGCTGCCAGGACATACAGGACTGACAACAGCTGCAGCATGCTAATCGACATGCTGAGCAGCTCTATAAACAAACACTACAAGCACGCTAATCAAGTCAGTTCTATGGCAGACAGCACGCTTGTATGCTAATCCCACACTGCTGTTCTGTGTACTGCATTTGTGTTTACCTTCGTTTTAGCATAAAAAAGGAAAACTCTTCAGCTGGGGCTTGACTG